TACAGCACAGCCTAGGGAACATAGTCAATTATATTGTAATAACTAGGGAGGGTGCCAGGTGGGTAGTAAACTTACCTGAGGGATCACTTCATCAGTTATATCATTGTCTAACCGCTATACTGTACACCTAAAACTAATATAATATTGAATGTCAACTGTAATTGAAAATTATTTTAAATTAAAAAAAAAAAAAGCCTGGCCAGCCCTGGCCGGTTTGGCTCAGGGGCTAGAGCGTCAGCCCACGGACCAGAGACCAGGGTTTGGTTCTTGCTAAGGGCATGTGCCTCCCTTGCAGTTTGTCCCCGGCCCCAGTTGGGGCCCTGTGAGTGACAGCCAGTCCATGTCTCTCTCTCACGTAGATGTTTCTCTTTCTCTCTTCCTCCCTCCCTCCCGCTCTATCTCAAGATAAAAATGCAAAATGTCCTAGGGTGAGGATAAAAAAAAAAGCCCAGCCAGTGTGTTCAGTGGATTGCGCATCATCCCATGGGCTGAGAGGTCCCGGTTCGATTCCCAATCAGGGCACATGCCTGGGTTTCAGGCTCAATCCCCAGTAGGGGGCATGCAGGAGGGCAGGCAATCAATGTTTCTACCTCTCTCTCCCTAAAAAAAAAAAAATCAATAAAAACATATTTAAAAAAAATAAAAGCATCCTGGTTCTGGAACACAGGTAAAGAGGAGTGTAGGGAGGAGAAAACGGGTAGTTGTGGAGGGGACGGTTGCATTTAGAGGGAGGGGCAAGCCAGACATGGATGAGGCAGAGGGAGATGTGAGGGCAGGAGAAGGGGAGACAGACAGATCCAGGGATGGGGGACTAGGTTTTGAAAGGAACAGGGACCTTTCCTGGAGGGACAGCGGAGAGATGGGTGAGCTGTGGGTGAAGCCGTCCTTAAGGTGCGGGAGTGACCGTAGAGGGCTTCTATTTTCTCAGGGAAGAATGAAGTCACCAGCTGAGAGGGAGGACACAAGAGTGAGAGTTTCTGAGGAGCATCATAAACCAGACTTCCCAAGGGGTGTGCCAGGCCATTTATGCACCCATTTGAGGTTCAGAGTGAAGCCAGTCAGCCCAGCGAACACCAGGTATATTCTAAGGGGATTCTAGTCCTTTTCTCTCGATGTTTGCAGGTTTGTTTGGCATAGCTGAAACCATACTGCACTTTTTTTTTCTTTATTGATTTTTAGAGAGAGAGGAAGGGGGAGAGAGAGGGAAACATTGATGAGAGAGAGCATCGATTGGCCGCCTCCAGCATGCCCCCCACTGGGGATTGGGCCCACAATCTGGGCATGTGCCCTGACCAGGAATGGAACCAGTGACCTCCTGGTGCATGGGTTGACACTCAACCACTGAGTCACACCGGCTGGGCCACTTATAATTTTATATCCTGCTTTTTTTTTTTTTTTTTTTTCACTTAACAGGGTAGCAAAAGCATTCCCCCCTGCCATTATAAACTCTGCAAATATCATTTTAACACAGAATAATCCACGGAGTGGATGTTGCATGGGTCATTTAACCTCTTCCCCTTTTATCGGACATTTAAATGGTCTCCTGGCGATGATCACTGCAGCTCTGAAAGAGGCAGTGTGTGTCTGGTGAAGAAGCAAGCAAGCAAGCTGCAAGGTGGAGCTGGGACAGCCAGAGCTCTGGCGCCTGGAACCCATCAGGGAAGCATGGCCATTGCCCTCCTGCCATGTCACATTCTGGGTTTTCCTAGACGTGAGGACAGAGGATGGACAGCAAAGCAAATATCACTGGGTTCTCAAAGTGCCCAATGGTTCAGGTATCAAGTGTGAGAGAAATAAGGTGGGGAGAGGGTCTGGAGAAAAGGCAGGGCCAGGTATGTGACCCCTGAACCATTTACAGTTTAAACACATATTGCAACAGCCATGTTTGAGGTGACAACAGGGCCCTCCACTTGCCTGTTTCCCCCATAATACAAGCCCTTTTGGCATCCCACCCTTCCTGGAGAGGGCACTGCCCAGCACGCCTGGCCACGGGCAGAGTGTCTAGGGACCAAGACCTTGCCACAAAGCCCAGCAGGAGGGGTCTCTCAGCCATGTGAAGATGGGGTGAGCACGAGAGTGTACTTCCCTAACCAGATAGAGGCTGGGAGACCACTTGGTGGGGATATTTTCGAGGGGTGTCTGCCCTGGGTGGGGGCTTCTTACTCTGAGACTGGCCGAGACCCCTTCCAACCTTGAGGTTCTGTAATTTAACAGCACAGCATTCACTGAAGTCCCACTCTGAGCTGGGGACAGAGAAGTAAGCCCCACTGATGAAGTGCCTACTGTGTGCAAAACGCTGGGCTCCCATGCACACTCTCCCCCCATGTCAGGGCAGGCCAGTGAGGACGGAATCGTCACGCCAGCCCCTAAGAGAGGGCAAGCAGGAGGGGCAACCCCACGCTTCCCCTGCAGCACAGGGTGACTGATGGAGAGACCCACAACATAACCTTTCCTGGAGAATTCATGCCCCATAAGAAAAGGGTCTGGGTAGCAGGTGTCAGGCTCCAGGTGGCACCTGGTAGCTGAGGTGAGAGGTTCTGTGTTAGAGCCAAGGAGTTCCGAGTCCCCACCTCTTTGGGCCGGTGGGGGCAGAGCTGGGGGTCAGGGTGACAGGTCTTGTTTGTGTGTGTGTGGGGGGGTTGAGTTTCTGACTGATGATAATCACTGCCAGGCCTTTCCAGCTGGAACCGGAGCAGGCACAGGGCCAGGGCCCGCCACCCTCTGGGCAAGTATGAGTCAAAGAGGACCTGGAGCCGGGCCCGGACAGAGCTGCCAGCCACCTGCGGGGACACCAGGGTGCAGAGCTCAAGCTGCGGCATCGGACCACCCGTGGGCAGGGCTGGCTCTGGCAGCGGCCCCTCTCTGGGAGAGCTGGGAGATGCGCTAAGGAAACCACTGGGCTGGACCGGCTGAAGGAAGTCGCCAGCAGCTTAGCTTGGCAGGGTGAGTACATTTCCATGGTTCCTGCCTTTCCCCACGAGCTCCTCACCCTGTGAGTGACCGAGTGACTATCTGTCCCAGAGGTGCCCAGGCGGAGACTGAGTGGCCACTTGTCGGGAATTTGAGCCCTGGCTCTCTCAAAGAGGCAGTGTGTGTGTCGGGGTGGGCGGGGAGCAGAAGCACTAGCTGTCCTGTGCTTACCAAACACCAGGCACTGTGGCTCACCTCACCGAATTGAGGACAAGGATGGAGGCCTGGCTTAGCATCCCGGTTCTTGAGGTATTATCTGCACTGACTCTTACAACAGCCCTCTGAGGTAATTCACAGATGAGGAGACAGAACACAGAGATATGAAGTAACTTGCCCACAGACAGAGCAAGTAAGTGGCAAAACCACGATTTGAACTCCCTGACTGCAGAGCCTGTGCTCTTTTTTTTTTTTAAATCCTCACCGAGGACGTTTTTGCATTCATCTTCAGATAGAGCGGGAGGGAGAGAGAGAGAGAGAGAAATATCGATGTAAAAGAGACACATTGACTGGTTGCCACCCACACAACCCCAACCGGGCTGGGGACAAATTGCAACCGAGGTACGTGCCCTTAGTGGGAGGTACGTGCCCTTAGTGGGAACCGAACCCGGGACTCTCTGGTCTGTGGGCTGACGCTCTAACCGCTGAGCCAAACCAGCCAGGGCAGAGCCTGTGCTGTAACCTCTGGGTTATTCAAGCATCTGGCCGTGGTAAGTCCCTTCCACTTTCTGAGTGGCAGTTTCCTTATTTGTAGTTTGAGGGTATAAGATATTACCCTGAGATTCCCTAAAGGTACCTGGACATGGGTCAGCTTTAAGCATCAGGAAATATTTTTGGAAACATTTGTCAAGATTGTGATCCAGCATTCAACTTTTGAAATTTATCATAAAGGACATAATCAGATTTATGAATAAGGAAGTTCATTACAGTTTTGCTTATAATCACAGAAAATTAGAAGCAAACAAAAATTGAGGACTAAATCCTATGATGAAATATTAAGCAGCCATTAAAAATCATGTGTTCAGCCTGGCTGACGTGGCTCAGTGGACTAAGCGTCGTCGTTCCACAGACTGAGAGGTCCTGGTTCGATTCACAGTCAGGGCACATGCCCAGGGTGTGGGCACCATCCCCAGTGGGGGGCGTGTAAGAGGCAGCCGATAAATGTTTCTCTCTCACATCGATATTTCTCTTTCTCTAAAAAAAACAATAAAAACATATATATATAAAATATATATATATATAAAATATATATATATATATATATATATATATATATATGTATATATATATGTTTAAAGGGTACTGAATGTCCTTGGGAAATTCTCATCTGTTAAGAGGAAAAAGCACTTTATAAAACTATACGTGGTATGACCTATTTATGAATGTGTGTATATACATGCTTATGAAATAAATACAAAAGACTAGAAAACATACCCTTAGAGGTTGAGAGTTTATCTCTGAGAGATAGAATTATAAATATGTGTATATTTTTATTCATTTCTAGATTCCTAAAGTTTTCTACAGTACACATGTACTATTTTTTTAATTAGAAAAATGAAGGTTTTTTTCCTCCCCTTAATCTGATTTTTGGTCTAGGGCAGCCCTGCTCTGGGACCGTGCAGTCCCTGGCTTTGAGAGGGAACTGAATTGCAGGCTGTCAACATTGGAGTGCCCTGGGATACTCTGGTCCGTCATGGTACATGTGGGGAAACTGAGGTCTAGGGGTGCAGGGGACTTGTCCAGCGTCCTTAGACCAGACCACCAGAAGGGCAAGGAGTAGAAGGGACTCTCCAGGCTTGCTGTGTATGGCTGACGTGCTCATCACTAACATGCCAGTGAGGCCGTGAGTGGCGAGTGTGCCACCCTCACAGACACACCCCGTGGTAACTCGGGCTGGCAGTGACAGTGAGAGCGAGCAAAGGGCAGCTGGGTGGGCACGAAGCCAGCCAGGCGTGCCCCAGACTTCCACCTCCTCGGCAAGCCTCGCCCAGTGGTGCGTCCTCCCCGGGCAGGACTGGAGCCTCTCTCACCGCCGCGGCTGGACTCGGACAGGAGAATGAAAGGTCTTCGCTGGCGTTACACTCGGCTGGTAAGGGGTCCAGCTTGGGCTGGGGGTTAGGGCAGGAAAGATGGGGAGGTGAGCTCTCTGGCGGGGTGGGGCCTGAGCTAGGGATCCATGCAGGCAGTGATTTGTTCCTCTTCCAAGCCCCTCCCCAGCTGGCCTGGGGTTCAGAGCCCAGACTCAGGAACCCAGGGCCTAACTCCCAGCCCATGGCCCTGAGACCCTCGGGAAGCACAGACTGCTATCCCCTTCCTTCCTTCCTGGAGTGGCGCCAGATGGAGCTCTGTCCAGCAGCCCCACACAGCGAGGACCCTCCGTGAGCCTGAACCTGGGGAAGAGGAAAGCAGTGTGCTGTTCATCCTCATCCTGGACAGCTCTCCTTCCTGTGAAAGGCCCGCAGTCGTGTGCAGGCGCACACGCGCGCGCTCTGGTCCTGAGTGGACGCTCGAATGAATGAATATACTAACATACGCGCGCACTGACTCACACACGTACCTTTACACAATCCCAGCTCACACTCACACATAGACAGGTAAACACACACAGTTTCACTTAACACCTTCTCACACTGATTTGTCTACACAACTCTGTTTTGAGCCCACACACACCACAGGCATTCACATGGATGAGCGCACATTTTACACGAAACTGCACGCGCTTCACCGAGACCACACAGGGAAGCCTCGGGGTCTCATTTTCTCTCTTTATAAAATGGGGATAATGAGAAGCACATTCTTGCCCTGGCCCTTGGACCAATGAGTCACGGGTTTGATACCGGCCAAGGGCACGTACCTGGGTTGCGGTTCGTCCCCAGCCCCGGTCGGGTTGTGCAGGAGGCAATCAGTCAATGTGGTTCTATCGCATTAATGTTTCTCTCTGTCTCTCTCTCCCTCCTTCCCACTCTATCTGATGATAAATAGAAAAGTGTCCTTGGGTGAAGAATTAAAAAAATAAATAAATAAAGCAGCACATTCCTGCCCGACTGGTGTGTCTCAGTGGTTGAGTGTTGACCCATGCACCAAGAGGTCACCGGTTCGATCCCCAGTCAGGGCACATGCCTAGGTTGTGGGTCCAATCCCCAGTGGGGGAGATGGCCAATTGATGTTCTCTCTCATTGATGTTTCTATCTCTCTCTCCCTCTCCCTCCCTCTTTCTCTAAAATCAATAAAGGAAAAAAACAAAAAACAAAACAGCACATTCTTAGGATTCTTGAGGCAATTCAGAGAGATCACGGCCAGCTGGCACTGGTCAAGTGTGTGCTGATCATTGCCAGCTACTCTGGTTGTTGTTATTGTTCTTCTTATTACGATCATTATTTCATGTACAATCTCATACGGCACCAGGGCTGGGCTATCACCTGCCCTTCGCTCCTGCCCCCAAGCTGAGAACTGGGTCCCTGGCACCCACTCTGGGTCCAGTGCCGGCAGGCAGACAAAGCACAGGGCCCGCGGCCACACTGAACGGGCGCGTGTGATTCCAACCTGCAGCCAGCAGGTGCAGGGAGGAAGCCGGCTGGAGGCAGGGCTGAGTCTTGTCTGTGATGGACACTTCCCAGCCTCCTCTGGCTGGGCTGGCGGATGTAGGGCCCGGGCAGGGGTAGCTGAGGCTCTCAGGCCTGGAGTTGTGGGAGCTGGTGTCTCCTGTCCTTTGACTCGCCAGGCCTTTTTGTGTCTTCACAGCCCAGCCAGGTGGAGGATACTCTGTCTGGACAGGAGGGTGAGGAAGAGGAGGAGGAGGAGGAGGAAGAGGAGGAGAAGGAGGCAGCCCCAGTCCCAGCCCCAGCTCCTGAAGATCCTGTGGAGCCCCAGTTAGCAGAAGCCAGCCAGATTTTGGGAGCCTCGGAGATTAGGCAGGTTCGGGCCCCGTCTATGGTGCAAGGATTTCAGCTCGACTGAGAGTTCTACACCCAGCCAAGTCCAAGGACTCCTGGGTTCACTCCTGCTCTGAACCCAGCTCACTGTGGCACCTTGGGCAAATAATTTCTCCTCTGGGCTTTCCTTTTCTACTTGTCAAATGATCCAGTAATACTAGTGCTACCCTCTTCACTGGGCCAGGAAGTTAAGGATATAATGAAACAAGCTAATTCTTAAGTAGAACCAGCCCTTGGGAACTGAAGCCAAAGTTGGAGTGGGGTGGGAGGATGAGGGCAGGGGGAATAGGAGGTTCAGCATCTCATCTATTCTCTGGCCACTGGGGGCCAGGATGACCAAGGGGAGAGAGTCCCGAGAGAGACCTGACCGGGGTTCAAATCTGACTCTGCCACTTGCTCCCCAAGTGGGCCTTAGACTTGCTCCCTGAGTCTCGGTTTCTTCATCTATAAAATAATCCCTCTCTCTGAGGGCTACTTCTGATAGGTGTGCAAGTCCCCTGGAAACAGGAAACTACTCTGCAACCTGTCAAGTCCCTTGCCTGTGTGAGTGGTGGCTATTTAACCTCAGTCCTTCTGGGACGCCAAGGGTATAGTGCAAGGGTCCCTCGCTCACCTCCAGGCCTGTCCCCAGCTCAGCCTCCACCTCCCCCCAAGAGTCACTGGACATTCCTGGAGTCTGGCCTTCTGCACGGCGAGGGATGGCTTCAGTCTGCGGAGCCTGTACAGGCGGATGGAAGGCCACAGTGGGCCGGCGCTGCTGGTGCTGAAGGACCAGGACGGGCAGGTGAGCTGTGCTGGGGAGTGCCAAGGGAAAGGGTGCGTGTTGTTGGGCCCATGGGAGCCTCTCCACCCTCCACCTCTGCCGGGGCTCCCCAGTTGCCCCTCTGGGAGGAGCCTATATTACCAGGCCTGAAAAGTGGCTTTCTAAAGGACCACCCACTCCTTTCCAGCTGCAAACTGCAAACTCTTCTGCTTTCCAGATGTTCGGGGCCTTCTCCTCCTCAGCTTTTCGACTCAGCAAAGGCTTCTATGGTACTGGCGAGACATTCCTCTTCTCCTTCTCGCCACAACTGAAGGTAATGTCCCCAACCTTGCAGGGGGGCGTGGGGGTCTATGGCAGGGCAAAGATCCCAGAGTCCCAGTGGCCCCCAGCTGCACCCCCTGTGCTGAGGTGCTTGGTGTCCACAGAGCATCCCCCTTGGCCTGTCCATCTTTGTTGTGTTTTAAATTGCTCAGTAGGTCCTTAGCAACCACTTACTGGCTCTGAGAGGAAGAGGTTTGTGAGGTTTGTGGCCCACCAGATACAGGCTGGAAAGACAACGTTGGTCCAAGTGCAGGTGGATCTGTGGGTGCGCTGAGTGAGGATGGAAGAGAGGGTGTGAAGGATGAGGTGAGAGAAGGTATCAGTGGTTGCAGGACTGGAAAGAGAAGCCTCCGAGAGAGAACTAGAGAAACAGACGGACAGCCAGGCCGTGTCGACTAGAGGAATGAGACCGAATTTATTCATTTTTATTTATTTTTTTAATCCTCACCTGAGGACATTTTTGCATTTATCTTCAGATAGAGCAGGAGGGAGAGAAGGAGGGAGAGAGAGAAACATCGACAGGAGAGAGACACATCCAGTGGTCGCCACCCACACAACCCCAACCGTGGGGAGGTACATGCCCTTAGCGGGAACCGAACCCGGGTCTCTCTGGACCGCAGGCTGACGCTCTAACCGCTGAGCCAAACCGGCCAGGGCATGAGACCGAATTGAAAAGCAAGCCAGTTACTTTGGTGTGTGCTTCCCCCAGCAACACGCAGCTCTTCAGGTGCAGGGAGAGAGCGGAGGGAGCGCCCACGACTGGGTTTGCCAAGCTGGTTTAACGGGGGAGAGAGGGAAAAGGTAGTTGAAGGGAGTGGAAATACAAAAGGGATGGAGAAACAGTCCTGGGCACCCTGGTTTGCAATTAGAGACCTTCTCTCCAATGCACAGACCAAAGCACCTACAGACACACCACATCCAGCAACACAAGCAACTGGTGGCATGAGGAGATCACAGGAGCCATGAACTGCCTTGCTGTAGGCAAGATAAGCTAAGACTGCCTGGTAATCTCATCAGAAAAAAGGGGTCAGTGGTTCATAGTAAACCCGTGCTGGGTACTAGTCATCCCCACCTGCCTCCCAGGGTTCACCTACTAGAATTCTAAAGTTCTAAAATTTTCCTCTTTCTGAACTAACAGTTCCTTTGCAGAATTCTTTGCTGGTTCCTCCTCATCTCCCCCAACTTTTTAATGTCACAAGGTCCTAAAGCTCAGTTTGGGGTTCTCTTCTCTGACTACCCTCTTTTCTTTCAAGGTCTCCTCCATTCTGGTAGTTTCCCGTGCCATCCAAGGGAGATGGCCTCCTCCTCTGGACTCCAAACTCACAAATATCCAACCACTGCCCAGCATCTCCACTTGTATCTCAAACATGGCATTTCAAGCCTCACGTGTCCAGAGCTGAGCTCCCCACCCCCCCCAATAGCTCCTCCTGCCATCTTCCCCAACCAAGTACTTGGCAACCCTATCTTTCCCGCTGCTAAGACCCAAAATTTTGGAGTCCTTCTTAACATCTCTGTCTTTTACATCCTACATCTGAGCTGTCAACAAGTTCTGACTGTCCTGCCTTCTCTTTCTATCTGTATCCCAAATCCACTGCTTTTCACCATGTCCTTTGCTGTCCTCCTGGTTCAAGCCACCATCATTACTTGCCTGTGTTCTTGGTCTAGCCTCCCAGTGCTTCGACCTTCAGTCATCACAGACAATTAAATGATCCTTTTAAGAGGTAAGTCAGAGCATGTCTCTCCTTGGCTCCACGCTGCTAATGGCTTCCTTTCTCACTCAGAGAAAAGCCAAAGTCTTTACCATAACCTACAAGTACGTACATCGTCTGGCCTCTCTCTGTTGTTGTTTCTTGCTACTTTCCCTTTACCTCACTCTGCTCTAGCCACACTGACCTCTTCGCTGGTCCTTAAATATGTAGGCCTGCTACTACCTCAGGGCCTTTGCACATGATGTTCTGCCTAGAGTGCCCTCCACTGGATCTCCACATGGCTTAGTTTGCACCTCCTTCAGTTCTCTGTTCAGATGTCACCATCTCGGCGAGGCCCTCCCAGACCACTTGATTTAAATTTATAATACTCCATTCCCTGGAAAACCTTTTTTGCCCTTCTCTACTTATTTCTCCTTGGCATTTGTCACCACCTAACATATTATTTATTTTACTTATGGATTTGCCTCCTCCAAGTAGAATGAGAGTCCCACGAGGCGGGCATTTTTGTTTGCTATGGTCACTATTCTACTCATTACCTAAAACAATGCCTGGTGCTAAATGCTAAAAAAAATTAAAGGAACTATTTTTTTCAGGGGCTTGCTGTCTTCCTAGCCTATTGTTATGGAACCTCACCTTTTCAAAAATTGGTTAATTTGTGTCTGTCTTTGATCTTTTTGTGTTCTTCATGAATTCCCAGCAGTTCCTTGATCACCCCAACCAGCACCATGAACATGGTCTTAATTCCTTCTGTAGCCATGGTTATCTGACTCCTTCAAGTTAGAAGGTCATGTTCCTTGATGAAACTAGAGGAGGACTTGACTTGAATGGTTCTGTCTTCTCGTGGGCACTTGTTATAATCTCATCTCTTCTGAGCCCAGGCTTATCCTTTATTAGTCCTTTTTTTCTTTCTAAAAACCCTTTGGTCGTTCACAGCATTAAAAAAAATCTTTATTGATTTTAGCGAGAGAGGAAGGGAGAGGGAGAGATAGAAACATAGATGAGAGAGAACATTGATTGGCTGCCTCCTGTCTGCCCCCCACTGGGGATTTGGCCCACAACCCGGGCATGTGCCCTGACTGGGAATTGAACTGGTGACCTCTTGGTGCATGGGTCAATGCTCAACCACTGAGCCACACCAGCCAGGCTCACAAAATTTTTTTGCAACTAATTATAGGCAAAAATATACTATTCTTTTGTGGCCCTTTAAAAATCTTTTTATTAACTAAATTAACTCTTGAATAATTTACTCATTCAACAAACACCTATACCGCCCTGGCCAGTTAGCTCAGTTGGTTAGAACATTGTCCCAATACATCAAGGTTGCGGGTTTGATCCTCGGTCAGGGCACATGCAAGAAGCAACCAATGTATGCATAAATAGGTGGAACAACAAACAAATCAATGTTTCTCTCTCTCAAAATATCAATAAATAAAATTAAAAAACAAACTAACAACCCTGGCCAGTTTGGCTCAGCAGCTACAGAGTCAGGCCATGGACCAAAGAGTTGCAGGTTCGATTCCGCTCAAAAGCACGTACCTCAGTTGCAGTTCGATCCCTGGCCCTGCTTGGGGTGGTGTGGGAGGCAACCAATCGATGTATCTCTCTTTCATCGATTGGTTGCCTCTCACATCAATTGGTTGCTTTTCTCTCCCTCCCTCCCTTCTACTCTATCTGGAAATCAATGGAAACATATCCTCAGGTGAAGATTAAAAAAACAAAACAAAAAAACAAACATCTATACCATGTCTCGGTAATACTGCCGGGAATCAAGAAAACCCTCAGAGAGCTTACATGTTAGGGAGCAGGCAATGACACAATGACAGATGAACAGTCATCTCGGTGAGAAAGGAAAAAGGTCTGGGAGACAGGGCTACTTTAGATAGTGTGGTCCAGGAAATTTTTCTGTGATTGCATTTGGGCTGAAAATGAGAAGTGAGCTTTTTTTTTTATCTTCACCCGAGGACAGTTTTTCATTTTTTGTTCAGATAGAGTGGGAGGGAGAGAGAGAGAAACATCGATGTGAAAGGGACACATCGAGTGGCTGCCTCCTGCATGACCCAACCAAGGCCGGGGACAAACTGCAACGGAGGTACGTGCTCTTCGTGGGAACCAAACCCGGGTCTCTCTGGACTGCAGGCTGACGCTCTAACCACGGAGCCAAACCGGCCAGGGCAGAAGTGAGCTATTTGAAGATCTGCAGGAAGATCATTCTGGGCAGAGGGATCAGTAAGCATGAAGGTCCTGAAGCAGGAATAGCTTTGGGAGTCCCAGGGACAGAAAGGCCGGTGTAGCTGAAGTGCAGTCAGTAAGAAAGGAGGTCAGAGAGAAAACCAGGGGTCAGAGCAGGCTGGGCTTTCAGCCACAGCAAGGAGTTGGATTTTGTTGCCATTGCAATGGGAAGCCACTGGCGGGCTTTAGGCAGAGGAATGACATCTGTTTCGATTCTGAATAGATCACTCAGAGCGCAGTGTAGAGGAGGCGGTAGGCAGGAGACCGTGGAAGCGGTGATCCAGCAAGGACTGACTTGGCATGGATGGGGTGGGCCAGAGTGAGTGAAGAGGAACAGGACAGAAATGGTGGCAGTTGGGGAAGGGCAGTCTTTTTGGGGTGGGGCCTGCAAGACTTGCTGTGGGGCTGGCTGTCGGGCAACTCTGGGGGATGGGCAGGTTTGGTGTCACCTCCAGTGAGAGATGAAGGGACAGTTAGTTAATGGTAGAATCAGAGCCCAACTCCTGACCTGGATTTTTCCCTTCCTCTCTCCAGTTTTAGAAGCAGGAAGCCTCAGAGGGTTCTGTTCTATTCCTAGAACAGAGGGGCTGTGGGGATTCAGACTGGAGAGCAGGAATAGGTGAACTCCAGAGAGACTGGCAAGAAATCTCAAGAGCCGGGAGTCCTGAGTACTTCCTGTGGCTCAGCTGGGGCCTGGATGTTCCAGTCCCTTTACGATACTGCCACCCAGTGGTGTAGAGTCAAACTGCAGGGCAGTAACTGGAGCCTTTTCTTGTCCTCCTAGGTCTTTAAGTGGACAGGAAGCAACTCTTTCTTTGTGAAAGGAGACTTGGATTCACTGATGATGGGCAGTGGCAGGTGTGTGTCTCAGTCCTCCTTGAGTCTCAGGGTGGTCTGTGTCCTGGTCCCTTCTCCCGTCCAGAAATGCTGAGCTAGGCTGCCTCAGATAAAATGGGGGGGCCTGGGTGGTTAACTTTCAGGCCTTTCTCTTCAACAACCCCTCAACCCCGCTCTAAGTTAACACTGAGGGGAAATGATGGCATGGACTCTCCCACTATGTGTTTACAGTTGGTGAGACCCTCCACAGAGAGGCAGCCTGACACAGAACACATCAGCTTCGCTGACTGGCAGTAACTCACCTCCCAGCCCCAGCGCAGGCTTGCTGTCAGATGAAGGAGTTGCAATGGATGCAGTGTTTTGGGCTCAGGGTCCATGCCTGGGAGAGTCACTCCTTTGGTTAAGCCTTGCCATCTTAAAAACCTTCCAAGTGTTCTAAACGGTGGTGAGCATTGCACCACTCTATACATTTATTAAAATCACTGAACTGTTAAAAAAATACTCTAAACCCTGTGGGGAACAATGTGTGCAGTCCTCAGGATTTCAGGATAAATTGGTTTAAGGGATGTTGAAACATAGGCTGCCATCATGGTGTGGATCTGAAAGGTCTTCATACCCGGAGAAAGCCATGCCAAGACTTTCCTCTTCTCTTTAGTGGCCAGTTTGGGCTGTGGTTGGATGGAGACTTGTACCACGGGGGTAGCCACCCCTGCGCAACCTTCAACAATGAGGTGCTGGCCCGGCAGGAGCAGTTCTGCATCAAGGAGCTGGAGGCCTGGGTTCTGAGCTGACGGCCCCACAGTGGGCAGCTTCCTGAGGCAACAGGCGCTCCAGCCTGCTCATGGATGCCGTCTAGGCCTTCCTTTCATGGCCCCTTCTGTCCAACACAGATGGTGAAGTGTCCTAGTGCTGACGAGCTGTGAGCCACCTTCCCGGTGGGCTGGGGACCCACGACAGGCATGGGGGCAAGAATTGAAGGAGTGAAAGATAGTTACACCTCACCTGAGCAGTGCCAAGTCCCTCATGAAAATCCTCTTTTAAAAAATTATGCAACTAATACATGTTTATTGTAGAAAAAAACAGAAGACAGTAAAAAATTAAAATTGCCTAAAATTCAACCATCCCACAAAACACTAACATTTTCATGTATATCCTACAAAAATGGCATTCTACTCTACATGTTTTGGAGATTATTTTAACTTAAATAATACTGTCTTCCTGGCCAGTGTGGCTCAGTGGTTAGAGTGTCAGCCCACACACCAAAGGGACTCAGGTTCGATTTCTGGTCAAGGGCACAAACCTGGGTTTCAGGTTTGATCCCCGGCCCCAGTTGGGGTATGTGGGGGAGGCAACCAATTGATGTGTCTCTCTCACATCAATCTCTCTCCCTCCTCACTCCCTTCTACTCTCTCTCTCTAAAAAAAAAAAAAAAAAAAAAAAAAAAACAATGGAAAAAATAACATCAGGTGGATTAACCAAAAAAAATATTGTCAAATGACAGACACCTAGACTCAAACAGTGACACTAATAAAGACTCTAGTAATACCATTCTTTTTCTAGAATAAGGGCTTTCCATCTGCCACCAGTGTGCTAGATGCTGGCAAATCTCTAATTTCGTGAGGAAGATATGAAAACAGCAAATGCACAATATGCATACTTAATAAAGAATTTAAAACTCTGTAGATGGGAACCTCGGGGAGGTTCAAACAGAGGGAGGATATGCTTTTGGGCGCAACAAGAGCTCGGAAAACTGAGAAAAATCCGTATCCCTTCCCGTGCTTGTGCCAACCTCCTGCCAGAGGAAAACACTCTTTATTATGCTATTGCTCACCGTGATGGGATGAGAAAAGCCAATTAACACGCACCCTGTTAAACACCATCCCCTCACAGACCCAACATAGCACTGGGGTACAAAGATCCATCTGGGTAGACTCCTAGACCCATTTCCTTTGCACAAAAGGGTCAAAACTGGGCACACAGTGTGACAGTCATGAAGGAAGACACCTTTGGTTTCAAGATGGAGATACATTTGACACTTTATTGCAAGTATTTCCCTCACCCAAATTAAGTAACCAGTCATTTAAACTTGCAGTTCTGTTTATAGTCTCAAGGTGATAACATTAACTCCAGAGGCTAAGCTGTTAAAATTCCCATTTTTATACAGTGAAGATGTTTTTTAAAATAAATCTAACCTTGTAAATGATACATAGTTTTCATCATTAAAACAATTGTAAAAAGCATAAAGTGCAGTTTCTTTACACGCAACAGATTCAAGTTATTTCTCAGCACAATGATACAGGACCGGGACTACACAATTCCAAAGTAAATCACAGTGACTTCAATCAAGGTCGGAGTTGCAGAAATAAAAGTCGCAGCAGAAAAACATTACATTCTTAACCATGGATTTGGGTACATGAAATCTGAGGCCTCAAGTTCTCCCCACTGAATGTGTTAGAGGCACCTTGGTCAAAACAGGAATGACGCGGCACCACGCTGACTCCACCTGTGTTTCTCTGAGCCCACGTGGCAACACATCCCCACCTACATGGCATCACAGTGGGCGCCAAAGCAGGGTTTTATCTTTCTCCTATTAATTAGGGTCAACTCTTGATTATCTGCTGAGGGGTGGAGGATGGAGTGGAGACAATACAGACAGACATTCCAAATACTTTTCACCCTAGTGTAGACAGAACCTGGCTATACAGTGGGAGGTGGTAGCCCTGCTAAGAGCTGGGATCATCTGCTGGCCTGTGTTCTGAGTTCTCCCCTTCCTCCACTCACTCTGGCCCAGAGCCAGGGCTGGCTCCCCGTAAGAGGTTGGGAGCTCACGACAAAAATGACTCCTCACTACCTTACATCCTCAGGACCCTCTGGCTGCCACTGGCTTTGGCTCTAACTCCAGACTTTGCTCTTGGTGAATTTTTGTAGAACTGACAATGTGGGGGTGGGGTGGGGGTCGGGGGGGAGGTAGTGCTCAGCACAGGAGCGCTGCTCAACCACAGTGGTGTCCACTCCATGGCTGGAGGTAAAGAAATCCATTTACAAAGGGGACCCTGGAATTCACTGGGTAATCACTCACCTCAGCACGGGCCACTCAGTCTGCTTTGAAACCATAAAATGCACGGAACCAGCACAAAGTCCCAGCTCTGGCAGCCCTGGGCAGGGTTCTTGTGACAGCCTCTGCTCAGCTCCCGAGATGCAGGGAGCAGGTCAGAGGGGAGCCTCCTCTTCCAGGCTGGGCCGTGAGTATTCAGGAGAGAAAGGAACTGCTGGGTCTGGAGCCACAACCGACCCAGAGAACAGGCTGGTTTGGGGGATCCCTTGCCACTAAGGGTAGGGTTACCTAAAAGGTATTTTATGTTCCACGTCAGAGGCCAGAGCCCCCAGGTTCAATCAGGCTTTTCACTGAAGAGTCGGAGCCTACCCCTCGTTCTCATCTCCTGCTGTTTACCCCAACTCGGCTAAAAGGGTGAGGGAAAGTGTCTTTCACTAATGTTTAGGTCACTTAAGGCAAGCTGTCCTCAGAGTGACACTTCCTCTGGGGGCTAGGACTTGATGTTCGGTTTTTAACCATGGCTGTTCATGACAATCCCAACTTCAAATTCCAATGGGCACCCTTGTATCATTTCCAATTTCCTTTTTTAAAAACAATCATATGTCACAAACATTCAGAGTATATAAAAGAATTATTGTTCTAAGAAAATAGACTACTAAAAGAGAAAGGCTTTAATTAATAGTAAATATAGGCAAGGTAATGTTTTTCATGGCAAGTATAGCAAGATTTGCCTACTACCTTTTCGTTTCTTTGAATAAAAATTATTTAGCTTCAGCATAAGTATACATTCAAAACATAAAGTAAAAAAAAACTAGCTGTTATTAAAATTTTAGAACTCTGTGAGCAAATTCCCTCAATGAATTAATTGCGCTGGAGATGAGGGATTTTTATAGACAATGATCGCAGACATTCACATTTACTTATTTTGAAAAAGCGCGACTCGGGGTTTGGGTGACTCTTGACACGAGGAGTTCCACTCCTTTTTTTGAGGTGTTACAAATGGGGCTATAATATCGCCATCCTGTCAAGGAGAAAAATATCAGGAAGAGAGAAAAGCCAGTTTTCATAATTTCAGTGAGTCTTGGGTACACATAAACTATCTTGCAGACTGATTGTTTCCAGACCTACTTACTCATGAGAAACCCCAAATTATAGCTATGCCCTGTGTTTGGGTCTATCGGAAACACCACAGTTCTAAGCAGTAAGAGCCTTGCGTAGCCAAAGCCACCAGCCCTATTCTTCTCTAAGACGGCCGGAAGCAGCACTCTGCCTGATTCTATGACTCTCCCACTTCATCAACTTGGGCCTGTTTTTCCAGGAGAAAGAGGGACTTCACTGGACCCCTGCTCCTCCCTTGCCTAGTCCGCTCTTTTTTTTTTTTTAATTGATTTTAGAGAGAGGAAAGAAGAGAAAAAGAGAAAGAAAGACACATCAACTTGTTGTTCCACTTATTTATGCATTCATCAGTTGATTCTTAGATGTGCCCTGACCGGGGATCGAACCCACAACCTTGGCATATCGGGACGATGCTCTAACCAACTAAGCCACCCGGTCAGGGCCCTTGCCTCGCCCCCTCTGCAATACATGGCCCTGGTCTAGAAGATAGCAAAAAAACGGGAAAAACGGATATGTACCTACAGAACTTGAACTTTTTTCTGCAAAGCTATCATTTTGGCCTGTCAGCATAGACTCCACCCAAAATGAGATGGCTTCAAAGTGAAGTGACACTATGACAGACAGTGTAAGAAGCAAGGTGTTTTAACACCTGCCTATCCTAAACCACTCTTGAATTTGTAAATAGATTCTTTTAGGTTGTACAAGGGCACGGGATCTTTGAGACCCTTTACTGCACTGGAATCTGAGGTTTGTGGCAGAATCCTGTGCTCCTCATTTGCCTGCTCTCTCAGATCCACTCATCACCTCTCCTCTGCTCTACTCAGTATAACAGGAGCTGCTCTTGTAAACTCCATTTCCCAGCTCCTGATCTATCCGTTTCCAGTTAGGTTTGGCCAGTGGCAGGCACTGGTGAAGACTGGAGAAGAGGAGGGCAGAGAAGCCTGGGTATTTCTTTCTCTAACCCCTGTGGCACAGGCAGCAGGAACTGTGACTCTTCTGTGGTTCTAGCTTCTGCAGATTACCCCAGCACCTGGACTCCTACCTCCTACCCTACAGGTGGTAGCAGCTTCCTACTGTTGTCTCAACCGTCCTGTTCGCTTGTTTAGCTCTGCCCAAAATTTTGTATTTTGGCCCCCATATTCAATTATTTCTTTTGAATTACACTGGATCTGACTTGCTACAGCTATAAAAAACAGTCATTCAATTGCGATGATACTCATATTGGGAAGATTCATCCATCTCAAAGTCAGCATCATTTGTCTTCAAATCCATTTCTAATTCTACCAAATGTCCTTCTTTCTACCTATTCTAATTTCAACTCCAGTGAATTTTATAAATGCAAACCCGAATATGCCATTCTCCTGCTTAAAACACTTCAGTGGTGGGTTTGATTCTTAGTCAGGGCACATACTCAGGTTGTAGGTTTGGTTCCCGTCAGGGCACATACGGAAGGCAACTGATCGATGTTTCTCTCTCTCTCTCTCTCTCTCTCTCTCTCTCTCTCTCTCTCTCTCTCTCTCTCTCTCACTGCTCATGGCTTAAAGGACTATGCACAATGCCCCAGACCCCTCCCCTAAATGCACCATGTTCTCTCTCATCGTTTGGTCCCCCCTCCCCCCTTTAATTCAGCTGACTCCTTCTCATCCAACTTTCAGGTCTCAGCTTCTATATCCATCTTTCTTTTTCTTTCTCTATTTCTTTCTTTCTCTCTCTCTTTCTTTCTTTTCTTTAGAAAGAGGGAGGGAGGGAGGGAGAGATGGAGGGAGGGAGGGAGAGAGAGAGCGAGAGAGAGAGGGTGAGAGAGAGAGAGCGAGAGGGGGGGAGAGAGAGAGAGAGAGAGGAGAGAGAGAGAGAGAGAGAGAGAGAGATGTGAGAGAGAAACATCGATCAGTTTCCTTCCGTACGTGCCCTGACTGAGAATCAAACCCACCATGTTTGGTGTACAGGATGACACTCCAACTAACTAAGCCCCACTGGCCAGGGCCCAAATCCTTCTTTAAACAAGCTTTTCCCAACCAACCAAGTCTGGCTTAAATGTTCCTCCTTTATGCTCCTCTAAGATTCCGTACCTGCTGCCCCCCCCCACCCCAAAGCACTTACCATACCCTGTGGTTGTGATTTATTTGTGTGTCTGTTATCCCCAACAGAGTGAGATCTATGGGAACTATGTCCGTCTTAGGTCCTGTTTCATCCCTTGCACCTAACATAGAACCTGGCAAAAGTTCTCATTCAATGAGTGAGTGTATCTAGATCTAAGGTAGTTATTCTACAATGGCTGAACTTTAATAGCCTCTTGCCTCTCTGCTTCCTGCTTCTCTAAGTTCCAATCCATCTTCCGCAGGAGCTTTCTCCCTGATTCAGTGATTTAGTTTCCTTAGGTGCTACAGTACCAAAAACAGAAGACATCCTTCCTTATTCCCATGGGTCTCACTCTAGTTGGAGATGACCAACACAGAAGTAAATAATAATTACAGCAGGACAGTAAGCCTTCAATATTCTCAATGATTCCCTCCCAGTGGTACATAAGAAAAAAAACCTTCTTTCTTAGTGTATTATCCCAGGTGCTCCATAATCTAGTCCACTCTTCCCATTTAACTTCTTACCATTTGACAGTAAGAATTTTCTACTCCAGTTAGCAGGTCTCCTCATGGTCTTCCCAGATACACTCAGCTCGTTCCACTTCCATGCCTTTGTTGGCTCCCATTGCCAACACGTCCACCTTTCTCTGTTACTCCCCCAAACACAATTGGCCTTCTGGATTGAGTAGAACCCTCCTTCCTTCAGAACGCTTCTGTCTGCTCGCCCAACTCTGAGTCCTGACAGAACTCACCTGGACCATTCTATCTGGCACTTGATAAAGAACTGTGGTACTGAGCTACTTTTTCATGTCTGGCCCTTCAGTTTTCTTTCCTTTAGCATCCAGCACATGGCGGGAAAAGGCAGCTATGGTTTGTAAGAGGGTGTCCTAGACTAGGAAGTAGAATGCTGTTTCCCACCTGCCTGCTAATTATATTCATTCAGCCCTGGCCATTTTGGCTCAGCGGTCAGAGCATCAGCCATGGACCAAAGAGTCAAAGGTTTGATTCCAGTCAAGGGCAAGTACCTCAGTTGTGGTTCATCCCTGGCCCTGGTTGGGGTCATGCGGGAGGCAACCAGTTGATGTGCCCCTCTCACGTCGATGTTTCTCTCTCTCCCACTCTCTCCCTCCCTCCCACTCTATCTGAAGATAAATAGAAAAATATCCTCTGGTGAGGATTAAAAAAATAATAATAATTCTATTCATTCAGTCAACAAATATAGATTGGTCACTTTCTCTGTGCTAGGGACCTACTATGTATATATCAATGAAAGATAATTCTAACAACATTCTCTATAGGGTTGGCAACCACAGCTTGGTTCCACTTCCTCTCCACTCTCTTATTCTAGAGAATTTAAATTGTTTACTAGTTTGAGAACACTGAGTTTCAAATAAAAAGTTAGAAAACTTATGATCTGATTAACTTAAGCAAGTTAACTACTCAGTGTCTGTAACCGTCTCTGAAGGATGAGGACACTATGAGTCACTCCCAGGGCCACTGAAAGGACTGGTGAGAACATTATAAAGTACTAATCACATGCTCACCATTTTAAACTTTTATTATTAAGAAAGTAATGATACACCCGGCCTGTGTGGCTCAGTGGTTGACCGTTGACCCACGCACCAAGAGGTCGCTGGTTCGAGTCCCGGTCAGGGCACATGCCCAGGTTGTGAGCCCGATCCCCAATGGGGGGCGGGCAGGCAGGAGGCAGCCAATCGATGTTCTCTCTCATCGATGTTTCTCTCTCTCTCTCCCTCTCCCTTCCTCTCTCTAAAATCAATAAGAAGAAATGAAAATTGTAAGAAAGTAATGATAGACAGAGTTCCCACTCACAACTGGTATAGAAAAAAAAAACCTGGTTGACATAGATTCAGACATTTTAAAAGAAAAGCTTAAAGTGCAAAACCTTTTTTTTTTTTTTTTTCAAAATCAAAACCAAATGACCATAATTCAAATGAGAACTTTTCTCAGGGACATAAGGATTTCTTTTGGTCTTTTCTTAAATATAAAAAACTGTGCAAAAGTAATGAACAATAAGCAACCCACCTGTGGCTTGGTGAAATTTTTGATTAGGCACCAATTAACAAAATGTTGTTGTGCAGCAGTGAAACTCTTTTTATCCGTCTTCTTACAATATACTCGAATTAGCTGCTCTTCAAATTTCTTTGGCAAAATCTGTGAAGCCTTTTTAAAGAAGAAAAGATTTCACTGTCACCTTGATTTCACACACTGAAGAGAGAGCAGCTGTTCCTAAGCTCCGTGCTTGATGTTATATTAAAAGCACCACGTTGCTTTGCTATTTTATCCTAACTATAACCCAAAAAAAGAACTCACAGTAGTTGTCATATTTAAAAAAAAAGCCCTACAATTTATATGTCAATTAATAAAAGGCTAAAGGTTTGTATTATATAATTGTATGTAGACTACAGACTCTCATAGAAAAGATAGGCAAATAAGCACATTTAACCTGTATGACTTCAATCACACAACACTCTCTTACCAGCAGATTTATAACCTAGCCTTTAAATTAAAAATAGTGCTTTTATCTAGGTTCAGCAAACAGGAAAAACTGGCTGTTAAGATAGCCTAGTTTATGTAAAATCAGGTACACCTTTAATTTTAAAGGTAAACTTATCCCATTTTTATTTTACTGTATAAATTGACTTTAAGACCTAGCCTGCATGTCAAATGCAAATTTACTATAAAGATTTGCCAAATACCACTAGAGTGGTTTTTTTTTAACCTAAGTAGTTACCTGATCTTTACTAATCTTGATGGTCTTGTTGACATCAGCCTTACAATAGAAGCAAACATTATCAACAGGATTCTTGTCTTCCATTCCATAATCCATGTTGATAACCTCAATAAAAGCAAGAAACAAATGATCACTTACATATTTAATAACAATGAGAATTGAATTCAGGATTGTAGGGGCATCACATGAAATGGAGCAGAGCTCTCTGAAGGTTCGGAAAAGCACTGGTAAGTTGGCTCAAAGTGGAATAAAAATGGTACATGACCCATAGGGATTTGGTCTTGAAATCTGGATGGGGGTAGGGGATTTGTGCTTTCAATGTAAGTAGGGTATAAAGTCAGTGCCTAGTATGTGATAGACACTGTGGCAGGTACTAGAGATACAATAAGGAAACTTGATATGATCCCAGCCCTCCACAGACCACGTGATTTAGACTGAGGTTCAACAAATGATGATCAAAGTAATTATCTAATTTCATTTGTTATAAGAGCTACAAAGCAAATGGAGCCATGAACGTCTGTAACCGAGGAATGACTAGTGAATAACTAAGCCAACTGGAATTAACTAGGCCTAGGTAGAAAAGAAAAGAGTTCCAGGCAGAAGAAACAGCTCCAGGGCAGAGAGGACTGAAACTGTCTCCTGGATTTAGTAACACTGAAGTTGCCTGGCCCTTGTGGCTCAGTGGTTGAGCATCAACCCATGCACCAAGAGGTTGCTGGTTCAAATCCCCAGTGGGGGGCATGCAGGAGGCAGCCAATTGATGTTCTCTCTCATTTATGTTTCTATCTCCCTCTCCCTTCCTCTTTCTCTAAAATCAATAACGGGAAAAAAAAAGTTTTTTTAATTAAAGTCATTGGTGATCTTGATGAGAGTAATTTTAATATAGTGATGGAGACAGAAAAAAGGTTCCCGAGTAAGTAAGAAATGAAAAGAGCCCAGCTGGTGTGGCTCAGTGGTTGAGCACTGACCCATGCACCAAGAGGTTGCCAGTTCGATTCCTTGTCAAGGCACATGCCCAGGTTGTGGGCCAAATCTTCAGTAAGAGGCATGCAGGAGGCGGCTAATCGACGTTCTCTCTCATAGATGTTTCCATCTCTCTCTCCTTCTCCCTTCCTCTCTCTCTAAAATCAATAAAAAAATAAAAATAAAAAAAAGCATTAAAGAAAAAAAAAGAAATTAAAAAGAGAAGATAACTCTTTATAAGTTTGGCTGTTAAGGAGTCAGGCAGGCTTATAGTCAAGATGGTGGAATAGATAAACTATATTCACCTCCTCCCACAACCCCTTCAAAATTACAACTAAACTACAGAACAACTGCCATTGACAACCACCTGAAGTCTAGTTAAACAGAAGTCCTATAACTAAGAATATTTTTTAAAAAGCCACATCAAGACTTAAAAAAATTTTTTTAATAATAATAAAGAATATGCAAGAGAAATACGGTACATGGGAAAGGTAAGAGGAAACAACTAGAGTGTGGTACTTGTTATTTTCTTAAGATGAAAGTCTAACTGCTGATGGGAAGGCCAGAAAGAGGACAGAACTGATTCCATAAGGTTCCACAGAAGTGCTGAGACAAATGGCCCTATGGCTGTACTGCCCAATGTGGTAAGCTGCTAGCCACACATGGCTTTTTAAATTTCAAAGAATTAACACCAAATACAATAAAAAATTTAGTTCTTCAGTTGCAGTAGCCACATTTCAAATGCTCAACAGGCACGTGTGGCTAGTGACTACCAAAATGGACAGCAGAGACATAGAACCTTTCCATCATCAAAAGTTCTATTGGATAATCCTGGTCTAGATCACAAGTAGAAGGATTACTTTTGATAAGAAGAGAATCATTTCCCCACTGTACCAGAGGGAAGGCTGAACACAGCTGCAGATGGAGGCAGGTTTGCTTATTTGGTGTATAGGATGAGGGAGTTCCTACCTAAGAGTCTGTATTTTATCTCTGAAGTAAGAGCCATGATGGGGTTAGTCAATGAGGGTGCACATACGGTTGGGACTGAGGAGCAGTGTTGGAGGTCTGAAAGGAATGAAGATGGTTTGAAAGCCACTGTGGAGACTGGAGAACTGCACTAAGCCTGCCAGAAACTTCAGAGGGCCTAGCTAAGGCTGGTGACCATGAACTGTCAATTAGCCTTATGCTAGGTAGATTCAAAGACAGGCAAGAGTTGAGGGTAACAGCAGAAAATGACTGAATTCATGGATCACAGAGTCTGAGTTAGACTGGAGGAGAAATCAAGACAGAAGGTCATTGACAAGCTGGAAGTAAGGAGACAATAAACTGGAGGTACTGATGAGCTAGGAACAAGCATACATGAAAGGGGTTTGCAGACAGAAGGAATGCTGAAATTAAGTGATTTTTAGAAGGAGGGTATTTTCGAATGTTGATAAGGTTCAGAGTGTAATATGCTTGAGAGTACTGGCTGAGGTGGAGTGGATGACATCACTGAGGATGAGGATGAAGAGATCAGAGTTGGTTGGCCATATGGACTATGAAGTTACTAAGGATAATGGCAGGAATTGGAGTAGATAAGAAGACTCTATAACATGCCAAAATCTTCAACAAGAGGGCAGTAGATGGTTTGAGGATGTCAGTCTCAGAGGAACAGGGATCTTGCATAGGGCCTTGAAGTGGTAGGTATTAGGGAATACCAGGACTGATGAACAGGAAGGTCTCCTGACCCTGAGGAACGTGTTTTCCCTGAATGAACTGCAGAGAAACCAGGTTCTCAGGGGACAGCCAGGCTGCAACCAAGTTAAAGAGCTAGTCAGTCAAGAGGCCGAGGCTAGCCCTGGCTGGTGTGGCTGAGTAGGTTGAGCATGGTCCCATGCAATGAAAGGTCACTGGTTCGATTCCCACTCAGGATACATACTCTCTTTAATGGTGGGCCCAGAGGAGGCACCACCAGACAAAGGGCTCTACCATAGGCATTTCTCCTGGTATGCCTCCTGCACTATGGCATAGCTTGGTCATGATGGGGTTGCAGACTTTTTCCAACTCTTTCTGCTAATGTTCAGACTCTGCAGTCTTGTTCTTATCAAGCCAGGTGATGATTTCATTACACTTGTTAAGAATCTTCTGTTTGTCCTCATTATTGATCTTGCCTTGAAGTTCTTCATCTTCAACAGTTGCTTTTATGTTGAATGAATAGGATTCAAGTGAATTCTTGGAAGACACTTTGGAACCCTGCTTCTCATCTTCAGCTTTGTACTTCTCAGCTTCCTGAACCATGCGCTCAATGTCTTCATTGCTCAGACGGCCCTTGTCGTTAGTAATAGTAATATTTTTCTCTCTTCCTGTACTCCTATCCATTGACATCAATATCAAAAGTGACTTCAGCCCAGCTGGTGTGGCTCAATGGTTGAGCGTTGACCCATGCACCAAGAGGTCGCCGGTTCAATTCCTAGTCAGGGCACACGCCCAGGTTGTGGGCCCAATCCCCAGTGGGGGGCATGCAGGAGGCGGCCAATCGATGTTCTCTCTCATCGATGTTTCTATCTCTGTCTCCCTCTCCCTTCCTCTCTCTCTAAAGTCAATAAAGAAAAAAACATTTTTAAAAAAGTGACTTCAATCTGAGGAACCTAATGAGGTGCAGGAGGTATGCCTGTGAATTCCAACTTACCAAGCTGGTTATTATCCTTGGTCATGGCACGCTCACCTTCATAAACCGGAATGAGCACACCAGGCTGGTTCTCAGAGTAGGTAGTGAAGGTCTGTGTCCGCTTGGTAGAAACGGTAGTTTTGCGCTTGATGAGGACAGTCACGACTCCACCAGCAGTCTCATCGCCAAGGGACAGAGGAGTGACATCCAATGGCAGCAAATCTTTAACATTATCTTATTTGTCTCAAGAGGATGTCTGCCTGGACAGCTGCACCATAAGCAACAACCTCATCAGGATTGATGCGCTTATTCAACTCTTTTCCACTGAAGAAGTCCTGTAGGAGTTCCTGAATCTTAGGGACAGAGGCAGAACCACCCACCAGGACAGTATCACGGATCTGAGACTTGTCAAGCTTGGCATCCCAAAGGGCTTCCTCTACAGGGTCCAGGGTGCCATGGAAAAGGTCAGCATTCAATTCTTTAAACTGGGCATGGGTGATAGAAGTCTGTGAAGTTGATTCCTTTATAGAGCAAATCAATCTCAATACTGGCCTGAGTGTTAGAAGAGAGAGTACGCTCAGCACATTCACAAGCAGGATGAAGGTGACAGACAACCCTCTTGTTCTCACTGATATCTTTTTTTTTATCCTCACCCAAGGACATTTTTGCATTTATCTTCAGATAGAGTGGGAGGAAGAGAGAGAGAGACAGAAATGTTGACGTGAGAGAGACACATAGAGTGGTTGCCATCCACACGACCCCAACCGGGGCCAGAGGCCAACCACAACCGAGGTACGTGCCCTTAGTGGGAACTGAACCCAGGCCTCTCTGGTCTGTGGGCTGATGTTCTAACCGCTGAGCCAAACCAGCCAGGGCTGATATCCTTCTTATGCTTGCAATTGAACTCTGCAATATAATGGCTGACCATTCATTTGTCAAAGTCTTCTCCACCTAAGTGGGAGTCCCCAGCTGTAGATTTGAGCTCAAAAATTCCATTTTCAATTGTGAGAACTGACACATCAAAAGTGCCACCGCCCAAACCAAAGATCAGCACATTTCTTCTAGCTCCAACCTTTTTGTCTAATCCGTACGCAAGAAAGTGGCAGTTGGCTCACTGATGATTCTAAGTACATTGACCAGCAGTAGTTTCAGCATCTTTGGTAGCCCGATACTGAGAGTCATTGAAGTAAACAGGTACTATGACAACAGCATTGGTAACAGTCTTCCCAAGGTAGGCTTCTGCAATTTCCTTCATCTTTATCAAAACCATAGATGACACCTCTTCTGGATAGAAACCTTTTGTCTCTCCCTTGTATTCTACTTGGACCATGGGCCTGCCAGCATCATTCACCACCATGAAGGACTAATGCTTCATATCAGATTGGACTACAGCCTCATCAAAGCTACATCCAATCAAGCACTTGGCATCAAAAACAGTGTTGGTAGGATTCATTGCAACTTGATTCTTTGTAGCATCACCAATCAATTGGTATCAATAAAGTTGACGTAACTTGGGGTGATTCGGTATCCCTGATTGTTGGCAATTATTTCTACTTTTCTGTGCTGAAAGACACCCACATAAGAGTAGGTGGTACCAAGATCAATGCCACCTACAGGTCCCTTAGCTGTTTGCTTGAGGTTACGCACAGTTTGCAAAGACCTGACTGGAACAACTGTCCCTGTGTTCAATGAGGGTGGGGGGCTTTATTCTTTAAAACAATTCTTTACTTAGTATATTATCAGGTGAACTACTTACATCCACTATGAAATCCTCAGGCTTCAGTTCAGCTTCTAGAAACACCTCATTAGGTTTGGCATTGGCAACCTCATTTGGAAACTGTTTACAGTCTTCCTGGAAAAGACAAGACACCCCATGTTAGAACTCCAGTTCTTCACCACTAAGTGTTTATGCCATGAAGTTTCTCCCTCTGAAAATGGCACTTTAGCCCCATGTGACCAGTGGCTAGTGAACTGGACACCACAGCTCTATACTTTCCTTCTTTCAGTCATAATGTCCCCATCTCTAACTAAACTAACAGAAAACAGTGTATTACAAAGGTGCTATGCAAGGACTCTTTATGTCTAATTATCTACTAATTTGGATCATGCAGGAAACATGAGAAATGTGCCTATACCATCCTTTAATCAAATCACAATAGAGTAATTTTCATAACAGGATTTTGACATTTTAAAAAATGTGGCATTAACCTATTAGTAAAACAAGAGGAACTCAATTAAGTATTAAAAGCAGAGTGTGATTATCAGTATGGCTCGTGGTACTCGCTTTCTGGCGAAGAAAAACATCTTCAAATAGCAGGAGAGGAAAATAGATATATAAACTAAATAAGACAGGCATGTGCCATCTGGAAGAAACTGATAAACTGTGAAAGAAGTTAAGTGGTAGCAGGACCTTAGAGTTCCAATGACGCTCTTGCAGGATGAGAAAGTAAATTAGACTTGGTTTTGAATCCTGACTCACTACCTGTGCTTCCATAGACAAGTTATTTCCTCTCTTCCCAAGCCTCAGTTTCTTCATCTACAGGACAGACCTAACAACACTATATTGATGTAAATGAGATTAAATGAGAATAAATGTAAAGGGCTTAGAACAGAATCATGGTATTGTGACAGGTTAATGGTTTTTCCTCATGGAAGACAGAGGACCTTTCACTAATAAGAAGATGCTTGACAACTCAACTTACCTTGTTAATTCTTTGTTTGTCTGGCTGGGTCTCACCTACAAACTTGTATAGATTACGGCGTTCAATTTTTTTTAAAATCTCTCGTGCAGCATCCAATTTGGGATCAGTAGAGTATAAAATCTCCAGAAAAATATTATCTGCCAATTTGATGAAATTTCAGTTATATTAAAGGGAAAAAAACAAGATTTAAAAAAGACTCACACTTTGCTGTACCTCTAAAGTGATTGCAAGCAGTGTACAAGGGTAGGCACACTATAATTATAACAATGTGAAAAAAATTTTCTTAAGACTGAAGTGAAAAAACCTTTGTAAAAACATTCCAGTCGTCTTCAAGGTCATCTAGTGAGTGGGGAAGGGTAGATATGAAACAAGACTGCGCTGGAGTTGATGATTTGAGGCTGGATTATGGGTACACAGGGGTATATTAATTTATTGTTATTCTTTGTTTAAAAAAATGATACTTAAGGAATTACAAAATTATGTCTGAGATCTGCTTAAAAGTGGTCCAGTGTTTGATGGGAGTGAAGGGATAAAGCTAACTGGTGTATGTTGGTAATTGTTAAAACTAAGTGATGTAAATTTCTTTAATTTTTTTTTCACGTTCTAGTCTAGCCCTGGATGGTTTGGCAGTTAAACCATCCAGCAGTTAAAAGCGCTGGCCTGCAGACCAAAGGGTTGTGTGTTCCATTCTTCTCAAGGGCACACATCTGGGTTGCAGGTTCGGTCCCTGGCCCCGGTCGGGGTCATGCAGGAGGCAACTGGTCAATGTGTGATGTCTCTCACATGCTTCTCTTTCCCCCCTTCTACTCTCTCAAAAAAAATCAATGGAGCCCTGGCCAGTTTGGTTCCACAGTTAGAGTATCAGCCCGCGGACCAGAGAGTCTCAGGTTTGATTCTGGTCAAGGGCATGTACCTCAGTTGTAGTTTGGTCTCCAGCCCTGGTTGGGATCATGTGGGATGCAACCAATCGATGTGTCTCTCTCACATCAATGTCTTGATGTCTGTCTGTCTGTCTCTCTCTCCCTTCCACTCTATCTGAAGATAAATGGAAAAATATTCTTGGGTGAGGATTAACAACAAAAAAAGTTCCATTCCATGATGATAGTAAAAGGTCGCTTCTTTTTCCTCCAACTTTTTATTTTAAAATTTCAAAATAAAATAACCTTCCCCTAAATTCAACAACTGTTAACTTTTTTTCCATATATGCACACTTTCTCCATATGTGTCTGTGCACACACAAGTTTTTGTGGAAACATCTGAAAATTACAGACATCAAGACTTTTCACTCCCAAACACTTCAGCATGCAATCTCTGAAGAACAAGAACATTTGCCTACATAACCACATCAAGTCAAAAAATTTAACAGTGATATGTAAATATCAAACATACAGTATATATTCAAGTTTGCTCAATTGTCCCAACAATGTAATTTATAGATTTTTGTTGCTGGGAAGAGAAACCAAACAGTATCATGGATAACATTAATTGCTATGTGTCTTAGTCTCCTTTAATCTACAACTATAATAATTCCCTTGGCTTCTTATTTTTCACGATGTGGACATTTTAGAAAAGTTCAGGCAATCATTCTGTAAAATGTCCTGAACTTTGAATTTGTCCAATTATTTCTTCATGATTAGATTCAGGTTAAACACTGTTGTCAAGAACACTGTATTAGGGATGTGCCTGGCTCAATGCATTACGTCAGGGGTTACATAAGAGCTTGGTTAACGTTACTGGTCATGTTGTGTTTCAGCCATTGTTTAAGGCAATAATCTCCAGCTTTCTCTATTATAAATGTATTTTCCCTTCAAAGTGGCTGTACCATTTTCATTTCCATCAGCCATGTATAAGAGTTATATTTGTTCCACATACATGTTTTCAGAAAAGAGTTATGTAAAGGAAACTGTTTGTCTATTAAATTTCATGGCAAAATATCACTCTAAAATAGTGTAAACAAAATTCAACTTGGGAGTCAGAAGACTTGGTTTAACTTTCACTTTGCTATTTATTAGGTAAATAATACCTTTCCCTCATTTGGCCTCAGTCTCCAAATTTAAGAAGTTTTAAGTAGATGATGTCTAAGGTCCTTTTAAATTCAACAGTCTATGATTCCAGTTTAATTAAGAGATTTGGGGGTGGGGAGCATTCAGGAGAAGGGAGGGAAGGGGCAGGGTCCACCTATTGCTTAGGTATATTAACGTATAAAAACCAAGGTAAGAAAATGGTTACCTAAGACAGTGGTCATAACATTTGCAATGCCTAAGATAGCCACATCCAGATAAGCTGAAACATTCCTGCATTTGTCAAACTCGAGCAAATGTACACTTAAGATTTGTATATTAATACAAATTGCATGTAAATTTTACATCAATAGAAAAAATCCATAATTACTAAACTTTAATTAATCTGCATGCTGAAGGATTAAAGTGTACTGATATCTGCAATTTACTTTAAAATGCATCAAAATTAAGATAGTTTAATAGATGGATAGAGTAATGATAAGTGCTAGATAAAGCAAGTTCAGTAAATGCTAGATTTAGGTGTGTATACATGTATGCACTGTAAAATTCTTTCAACATTGCTGTATGTTTTCAACATTTCCCAATAAAATGTGGAAAAACATTCTAAAAAATTTAAAAATGAGAAGTAGAGATTTTAAAATAAAGAGATGGTGAGTTGCCTTTTGGAAAAGCAGAAAAGGTAATGAAGGCTTCCATGGCCCTATTTCTTCAAGGTCACAAAGTTAAGGACAATATGGATTATATGACTGCCAGAAAAAAATATGAAAAATGAGATTATCCCTGTCTCAAATGATGAAAGCTGGAAAGGCCATATGTTTATTCTCCCACATTCTGGCAGATAAAGCACAAAATGTCATCTAATCTTCTGTCTGGGACTTTTGACATTGCTACAGTATCCACGTGTATGATCAGTGGACTCATCTCACTGAACAGGGTAAAAACCAGAACCTTCAAGTGAGCAAAAGCTATGTATAGTTGTGCATAGTGAGACCACATTAAAATGTATGATATTTTGTGGATTGTCAGATAACCTAAAAATCTGTAAAATCCAGAATTCACTTCGTTTCACCAAAAGATAGTTTAAATATAATAAAATGTTAAAGGAAAAATTGTTAGAATTGATGATGGCTTCTGATGAAGACTGAAGATGCCTTTTTAAAACAAAGCATTGCGCCCGGCTGGTGTGGCTCAGTGGTTGAGCATCGACCTATGTACCAAGAGGTCGCTGGTTTGATTCCTGGTCAGAGCCCAGCCCAGGTTGTGGGCCAAATCCTCAGTGGGGGGCATGAAGGAAGCAGCCAATCAATATTCTTTTTCATCGATGTTTTTTTCTCTCTCCCTCCCTCTCTCTCTAAAATCAATAAAGAAAATAAATAAATAAAAGCACTGCCTGCTTCATTATGAACACAAGTTAAAAATAAATATCTCCAGCTTGCTCAGATAATTTTATAATCTCTTCTTCTGTTCCTATCAACATAACAAAGGAAGATCATAAACTATGATGTTATTAAAACAAAACACAAAAACAATTTAGATATATATCATTCCCTGTGAGAAACTGTGTCATCAATCCAAGCTAGATTAATTAACAATCAAGAAGCAAACTCACTTGTTACATTATGAACCTTAAATATTGATATACACAGTGTTCTCAGTTTAACAATACATTTATTATGAGGAATCACTATTTCACTTCTAATATTTGGTTTAGTTATGATTGGAAAATGGTTAAGAAGTTACAAGTCTAAAAGGAACTCTATATGAATTGCCTACATATATATTTTTAAAGATTAACAGTTTTTAGAATGAAAACTTTTTTCTGTTCTGTTTCTTTTGATTATATTTATTGAAATGGTAAATCTGTCAAATTCAGTAATAAAAATTTGGGCTTGTATTTTTGTATGCCCCCTTACCCCTGGCCATTTCATTTTCCCAGTAATTCGTTTTTATCGTATTTTTACAAAAGTATCAATCTGTGAGGGGTTGGAAATGAAGAATGTTGATTCTTCAAAGACAGTTTGAAAGAAACTGGTTTAGGTTTCACTTTGGCAGTGTGCTGCAGACAGAATCTAACGGTGATGGGGCAGCAGGAGTACCCCAAACAGAAGCTAATGTAGGGTGATCTTGCCTGTGTGTCTTAGGCTGCTCAGCTTGTTGTTTTTATTCATCTTCAGAAGTCCTGGCCATCCCATTGATTCTATAAGCTATGTGATTGTTATCTTATTTTATTTTTAGTTAAATAGTTGGTTTCATGACTTGCAACTTGGAGCTCTGGCTGGTATATACTTTTTGGTCTGCTTCTTTTGCTTTACTAATCTTAATTTTTCAGTCTAAACTTTCTCACGTTCAAAAACCAGCTGTGACACCTTTACCTCTCTTCCTTCCCACCCTAAGCTGTAGATTTTGTTTCTGCTGAAGTGTGCAGAAATGTTCTTGGCATACTGTGTTTTGTAACAAAAATAATGTTAAAGGGTGAATCAGGTTTTTGGTATTAGTCTAATATTATTAGAACAGCTACATTTTATGTTAAATAAGTATAAACACTGAGTACTTATGTGCCATGTAGTATACTAGGTACTATGCCTCGTTAAAGCATCACAACAAAAGTATATGTTAGGTATCATTACTCCTATTTTATAGATGAGGAAAGTATGGTTCAGAGAAATTAAGTAACTTTTTTTTTTAATCCTCACTCAAGGACATTTTTCCCTATTTTGTTCAGATGTAGTGGGAGGGAGAGAGAGGGAGGGAGAGAGAGGGAGGGAGAGGGAGGGAGAGAGGGAGAGAGAGGGAGAGAGAGAGAGAGAGGGATCAACGTGAAAGGGGTTGCTGACAAACTGCAACCAAGGCACATGCCCCTAGTGAGAACCGAACCCAGGTCTCTCTGGACTGCAGGCTGACGCTCTAACCGCTGAGCCAAACTGGCCAAGGCTAAGTTAAATAACTTTATCAAGGTTATCTTGTTAGTACAAAGCAGAGATAAAACTCAAATCCAAAAGTATAGAGTCCCTTGGGAAGCTAAATGTACTGAAATGTTTGAAAAATAACCCACCTGCAATCCAGGGACAGCTTATACTTTATCTAAGATGGACCCTCTATGTTACCTTTTAGTTCTTACCTGTTAGCTTAGTGAAGGCTTCCATGTCATTAATTGCTGTAGAAAGGTGGTATTTTTTTCCTTCAGCACCTGTAAGCTCTATGTAGGGGTCTGCTTTGAGGAAAGCATCGGTAATCCTAAAGATCATTTAATAAAAATTTGTGTTTATGAGAAAATATAAATATGTACTTCAGGCCTGGCTTAAAGTTAAGAAAATCTTTCTACTTTAGGGAAATAAAATCTTGAGACACAATGTTCTAAAGACACCTGTTACTCGATCACACTAAATAAGTTCATGGTGATTTGTAGGCTGCTATGTTGACTGTGTTCCAGGCATTATGGCTGGGCTTTAGATTCATTGTCTTATTTAATCTTTCTAACAGTAACATAGATACATGTAATCAGCCTTAAATTTTACAGATGCAGAAATTAAGTAAATTTTTTATTATTATTATTATCTTTTTATCCTCACCTGAGGACATTTTTGCATTTATCTTCTTCAGATAGAGCAGGAGGAAGAGAGAGACACATCAATGTGAGAGAGACACATCGAGTGGTTGTCACCCACACGACCCCAACTGGAGCCAAGGACAAACTGCAACTGAGGTACATGCCCTAGCGAAACCAACCCAGGTTTCTCTGGTCTGCAGGCCGACGCTCTAACTGCTGAGCCAAACCAGCTAGGGTCAGTAAATTTTTATTTTACCAAGTTAGGAAGAAGCAGTACCAGGCTTCGAACCTTGATTTCTTTGACTCTCCAAATTAAAAACCAACTAATACCTGGCCTGTGTGGCTCAGTTGGTTGGAGTGTCGTCCTATGTACCAAGGGGTTGCAGGTTTGATTCCTGGGTCAGGGCACATATCCAGGTTGTGGGTTGAATCCTCATTTGGGGCAATCAATAAATGTTTCTCTCTCTCTCCATTTCCCTTCCTCTCTCTCTTAAATCAATCAATAAATAAAATATAATATAATAAATTTTAAAGTATTAAAAAAAAAACTAATATAAACAACTACAGCCCAGTTGGTGTGGCTCAGTGGATTGAGCATCGTCCTATGGACAGAGGTCCCAGTTCAATTCTCAGTCAGGGCACATGCCCAGGTTGTGGGATTGATCCTCAGTAGGGAGTGTGCAGGAGGCAGCTAATGGTTGTTTCTCTTTTACACAGATGTTTCTATCTCTCTCTCCCTTCCTCTCTCTCTAAAAAGTCAATAAAAACATATTGGGAAAAAAATAAAACAAAAACAAGTTCCCATAAAAAAACAAACAAACAAAAATCTACACCAAAGTAACAACCATACAAATAGGTCAATGTATTAACTAGTCTGCTCATGACAAAAGATGGGGAAAAAAATAGAAAAAGAAAATCAATTTCCTTAACATAAACATGAACATAAAAGGCTTATAATAAATCAATTTAAGGGCATTTTAGAGACATGGTGTTAGCTGGACTCACACCCAACTTTTGATAATTCCTCATGGAGTCTTTTAATCCCTAGCGACTAGGCTGTACTTTTCTGCAATGGATCAGGGAGAAGAGGTGAAATTCCTATTGGTTTTACTATTTGCTACTAATTTTGATAAAAAATTGACAGGGTTGCCCGGCCAGTGTGGCACAGAGAGGTCGCCAGTTCAATTTCTGGTCAGCGCACATAACCAGGCTGTGGTCAAATCCCCAGTGCAGGGCATGTAGGAGGTGGCCAATCAATGTTCTCTCTCATTGGTGTATCTATCTCTCTCTCTCTCCCTCTCCCTTCCTCTCTCTGTAAAACCAATAAAAAAAATTTATATATTTATTCATTTAAAGTCACTTAAATTTGTTTAGAAATCTCAACTTGATCCATGTATGATACTCTAGAGCAGTGGTTCTCAACCTTCCTAATGCTGCGACCCTTTAATACAGTTCCTCATGTTGTGGTGATTCCCAACCATAAAATTATTTTTGTTGCTACTTCATAACTGTAATTTTGCTACTGTTATGAATCGCCATCAGAAATATGTGTTTTCCGATGGTCTTGGGCGACCCCTGTGAAAGGGTCGTTCAACCCCCAAAGGGGTTGCGACCCACAGGTTGAGAACCTCTGCTCTAGAGCAAAGCATCATAGAAATTTTTAGAGGAAAATAAAAATCAAATTTCTTACATCATATCAATGATGTTGCCAACTTTGTGTTGATAAGCTCTACGGTGTAAAGAGTTGCGTGTATGGAACATGTCATACAGATTCCAAATCTCCTGCAGGAAAACATGGAGTAAATATTAATGTAGGATCACATTGTGTTACCCCTATTAGTAGACAAGTATATAAACAAGGAAAAGGGATGGTTGTAGACACGAAGGCTATGCCCAGGGACTACTTTGTAAACGGCAAGGCAGACAAGTAAAACTATTCATTGTTTTGCAACTTGCATTCATAGTAAACCAAAATCTATTGTGTGTTTTAGCTCCATGGCAGGTTCTGAATTAGGCAGCGTACATATATTTTTTAATCTTCCCGATAACTCTAGAAATTAGGTATTATTATTCTTATAGCCTTCATTCTTAAAAGAAAGACTTTTATAACACAATAGTATACTACTCTTCAGTTACACAACTCTAATTAGTAGAGATCTAATGATTTTTGTATTTTAACTATACGAAACACTAACATAGTGATTAAGGATGAGATTTGAGCCAGATTATCTGGGTTAAAATTCTAGTTGTACCATTTATTAAGTATATATCTTTTCTGTACTTCGATCTGCTCATCTATTAAGTAGTATAATAATTATATCTATCTCATAGGGTTGTGAGGATTAAGTTAATTCATCCAAAACACTTAAAACAGTACCTAGTACAACACTCAATAAATGTCTATTGTAAAGACATTTGGCAACACAGTACAATTGAAAGAGCCTTAAGATATTTAAAAATGAGCCCAGGCTGGTTTGGCTCAACGGTTAGAGCATTGACCCACGGACCAGAGAGTCCTGGGTTCAGTTCCTGCTAAGGGCACGTACCTCAGTTTCGGTTTGTCCCCAGCCCTGGCTGGGGTCGTGTAGGTGGCAACCAGTCGATGTGTTTCTCTCGCATCGATGTTTCTCTCTCTCTCTTCCTCCCACTCTATCTGAAGATAAATGCAAAAATGTCCTCGGATGAGGATAAAAAAAGAAAAAAAAAAGATATTAAAAATGCTCAGTATGTAATAAAGAGATAAACAATTTACCAGGTACTGACTTTTCCAAATTATTGAATGGTTATTGTTAGATTTCAAACAAGGAACTATACCTGCCTTGTTGTTCCTCTGACATAGCTTACCTGATTTCTAATACAAATATGCGTCCTATCTCCTACTTCACAGACACGGGCAAACTTAATAAAGCGTTTATAATCAAAACTATTTTGAATTCCAAGATGATGGCAGTCCCTAGAAAGATTCCAAAGCAAAGATAAAATTTTTCAATAAGGTAACTAACTGTACCTTAAATCTTAATAATACTAAATGTACACAAACATTTTATTTTTATTGTATTTATTTGTTTGTTTCAATAAAAATTATATATATTTAAAGTACACAAAGATTTTAGCCAACTTTTCTAAAGTGTTCAATGCATACCTGGCAAAATAATCCCATTTGTCCACATCAATGCCATTTCTTTTATTGGCCACTATTTCATAAAGGAAGTTTTTCTCTTTAGGACGGCCTTTATATGGCCACTAGAAGACAAGAAAACCCATGAAAAGTTTTAGGTTAAGAACCAAATCTATTTATGAGCAAAGCAAAGCAATCGTATTAATATGAAAATTATAAACAGATACTTGAATGAGATTATGAAATAATTTAGAAGGTTCTTTCCACTTAATTCCCAAATTAGTGGAAAAGGGAAAAGAAATGATAAGATATATGATATCCTGTTAATATCAAACCTTTTTGGTATTTAGTGCCATTGGAAGGATCCTAACTCTATTATGCTTCCCACAACAGCTCTGTTTTCTTGGTTTAAAAGTTTTTAAAAATATAAGATCCAATTATGAACTAGTAAGAATGTTCCTTACTAGAAAATAATACTGTCTTTCAAAGTAGCTACACACCTACCCTACCCTAAATTATAGGCACCATTCAAAGACTTTTTGGAGCTCCATCTTTTTGAAAATAGGATATTTGCTACAAAATCCATCTCTTTAATTTACAAATATATATACATATATATAAAACTTAAAAACCTCAGAGAAAAATTATTTTTCAACTTCTTTTTTAATAATAAAAAGATCAAAAAGGAAACAAAACAGATTTTGCTCTGAACTAATTCAACTTTTTTCTAGGTCTTCATATATTTAAATATTTGAAATATGTTAGTTTTAATGGATAAACAAAACACACATTTACATTTTCCAAACAAAGTTACTTTAGTCTTCTATATAAAATATTGCATACAGCCAGGCCGGTGTGGCTCAGTGGTTGAGCATCGACCCATGCACTAAGAGGTCACCGGTTTGATTCCTGGTCAGGGCACATGCCCAGGCTGTAGGTCTAATCCCCAGTGTGTGTGGGGGGGGCATGCAGGAGGCAGCCAGTCGATGTTCTCTCTCATCGATGTTTCTCTCTCTCTCTCTCCCTCTCCCTCTCTTCTAAAATCAATAAAGGAAAAAAAATTAACAAAAATACATAAAATAGCCAAGTGTTCCTCTTCAAATAGCTCTGAAGGCATTTTAAAAAGACTAGTTGAAAAGCATGAGTCACTTCAAATTAAGTTTTACACAAACTTACCGATTCATTTTTTATTGGTGAGTCCGGTGGTCCTGCAATTTGTTCCTTGATAAAGCAAATATCTTCTTCAGGGATGAGACCATAGTATTCCATGACAGGTTTGAGATCATTAGAATTGACGAGGTGCTCAAACATATCAACTGAGCCCTGTTCATGCTAGGAAAAGTCAGCAGAATATGGTCTGTTATAGACTAGTCCATTAGGGATCCCAGATTATCTGCATGTTAAGATTGTACTGCATGTTTATTATCTAGTTTCCAACTAGACTCTTGCAGATATTTTAAAAACCTATTCATTTTCCTATATTTTACAGGTCTATAAACTTTTAATAAATTATGTTCATCATTATTTCATCAATATATTTAATCAGATATAATCATTTACAGTACAGTACAGTACAGAGAATATTACCAGGTCATACAGGTGGAATCCCATTTTAATGAAGATTGCTATAAAATTCAGTTCTATTATTTAATCAGCCTTGAATCCCAAAGTTACAAGTTTTGCTAGCACTCCCATCTAGTGGTCAAATGGAGTCACTGCGTATTTGTGGGTTTTTTTTTTAGCCCTGGGAGGTGCGGCTCAGTTGGTTGGAACCTCCTCCCATACACCTAAAGGTCTCGGGTTCTGGTCCAGTAAGGGCACATATCCATGTTTTGGGTTAGATCCCCGTTTGGGGTGCGTATGGGAGACAACCAATAGTTTCTCTTTCTCCTCTTCTCCCTTCCTCTCTAAAAAAAATTTATTTATTTATTTATTTATTTTTAATGTTGTATACTTTACTACAATTTATTTATTTATTTTTTTGGTACGTGCCCCTAGCGGGAACCAAATCCGGGACTCTGGTCCGCAGGTCGACGCTCCAATTGCTGAGCCAAACCGGCCAGGGCCTCTCTAAAAAAATTTTAAAAATGAATTAAAAGAGCCCTGGCCAGTTTGGTTCAGCGGTTAGAGCATCAGCCTGCGGTCCAGAGACCCAGGTTCAGTTCCTGCTAAGGGTGCATGCCTCGGTTGCAGTTTGTCCCCGGCCCTGGTTGGTGGTGCGGGTGGCAGCCACTCGATGTGTCCCTTTCATGTCGATGTTTCTCTCTCTCTCTCTCCCTCCCACTCTACCTGAACAAAAAATGGAAAAATGTCCTCGGGTGAGGATAAAAAAAAAAAAATGAATGAAAACATATCCTTGGGTGAAGCTTAAAAAGAAACAAAACTTAAGTGTTTTGGACTTCCATATAAAATACTACATATAGCCCAGCCAGTGTGGCTCAGTGCTGGAGCATCGACCCATGCACCAAGAGGTCAGGGCACATGCCCAGGTGGTGGGCCAAATCCCCAGTGGGGGGCACGCAGGAGGCAGCCAATTGATGTTCTCTCTCTCTCTCCCTATCTCTTCCTCTTTCTCTGAAATCAATAAAGAAAACAACAATTTTTTAAAAAATACTGCATATATACTCATTATAAAATATGTATAATGTATTTTAATTTATATATGTATTTATATTTTTTCCATCTCTTAACTCAGTCCCTCTGAGATCTTTGTTTTCGAGATCTGAAATCAAGATCTTGGTGGGAATCTCAAATTGGCCTCATTTTACTCAACTATTTCTGTTCACTCATTCATAATCATTGTAAAGACATCTGTCCCATCATAGGTCTTACAAAAACTGACCTATGATAAAAACAAAAACGCGAATGGTCCTACAATTATATTTTTAAAATTGAATCAAGATAACATATTAGGAACATATAAAGGAAATAAACAGCAACTTTATAATGGAAAAATTCAGCAGACATTACCTTACTCAAGTGATCAAAGTTAGTATTACCAGCAATGGTTAGGTAGATTTTATGTGCCTCTGATGTGATACACTAAGGACACAACATGGCATTCTGCCACAAATGTATAGTCTCACACTGTGGAGAAACATCAGACAAACTCAAATGGAGGAATATTTCACAAAATAACTTACTTGTACTCTTAATAAAATAGCAATGTTATGAAAAATGAGGACTAAAGAATTACTGCAGGCCAAAAGAAACTAAAGAGAATGGCAAGTAAGTGCAATGTATGTGTGGGTTGTGAAAAAAGGTGTTTTTTTTTTGCTCTTTTTCTATATGGACAATTGGTAAAATTTGAAAGAAAGTCTAGGTTAGATAATAGTAGTGCATCAATATTAATAGCCTGATTTTGATCATTTTACTGGGAGAGGGGGGTAATGGTTATGTAAGAGAATGTTCTTGTGTTTAGGAAATACCCACTGAGGTATTTAGGAATGAAGGGGTATGTCTAGAACTTACTTTCAAATGTTTCAGAAAATAATTTATATGTACAGAAAATTTAAGTTCTACAAAGACAGCACATACAATAACAACTAAAATTATAAGCAATGTAGGAGTAAATATAATAAAGGATGTATCAAAACTTTATGGAGCCCAGCCAGTGTAGCTCAGTGAATAGAGTGTCGTCCCATGGACTGAGAGGTTCCTGTTCAATTCCTGGTCAGGGCACATGCCCAGATAGGGGGTGTGCAGGAGGCAGCCAATTGATGTTTCCCCTCACATTGATGTTTCTATCTCTCTCCCATCCTCTCTCTCTAAAAAAAAATCAAAAATATATTTAAAAAAAGAAGAGCCCTGGCTGGTTTGGCTCAGCGGTTGGAGCGTCGGCCTGCGGTACAGAGAAGCCCGGGTTCGGTTCCCGCTAAGGGCATGTACCTCGGTTGCAGTTTGTCCCCGGCCCTGGTTGGTCGTGCGGGTGGCAGCCACTCGATGTGTCCCTTCACATCGATGTTTCTCTCTCTCTCTCTCTCCCTCCCGCTCTATCTGAACAAAAAATGGAAAAATGTCCTCGGGTGAGGATAAAAAAAAAGAAAAAGAAAGAAATACCAGCCCTGGCTGGGTAGCTCAGTTGGTTAAAGAATCATCCCAATATACCAAGGTTGCAGGTTCAATCCCAGGTCAGGACACATACAAGAATCAACTAATGAATGCATAACTAAGTGGAACAATAAATCAATGTTTCTCTAAATAAGTAAGTAAATAAATAAATAAATGAATAGTCCGGCCAGTGTGGCTCAGTGGTTGAGCATCGATCCATGCACCAAGAGGTCGCCAGTTTGATTCCCGGTCAGGAAACATGCCCAGGTTGTGGGCCCAATCCCCAGTGGGGGGCATGCAGGGGAGGCGGCCAATTGATGTTCTCTCTCCATTTATTTATTTATTTATTTATTTATTTATTTATTTATTTATTTATTTATTTTTTCCCTCACCCAAGGACATTTTTCCATTTTTTGTTCAGATAGAGTGGGAGGGAGACAGAGAGAGAGAAACATCAACGTGAAAGGGACATATTAAGTGGTTGCCACCCGCATGACCCAACCAGGGCCGGGGACAAACTGCAACCAAGGTATGTGCCCTTAGCAGGAACCGAACTCAGGTCTCTCCAGACGGCAGGCTGACGCTCCAACCGCTGAGCCAAACTGGCCAGGGCTCGATGTTCTCTCTCATCGATGTTTCTATCTCTCTCTCCCTTTCCTTTTCTCTCTCTAAAAAACCAATAAAGAAAAAATAATTTTAAAAAAATGAATAAAACGAAAGGAAATACTATATGATCCAGCAATTTCACTTCTGTATATTTATCCACTGAAAACAAAAACACTAATTTGAAAAGATATATGCACCCCTAATTTCATTGCAGCATTATAGACAAAAGCCAAAATGTGGGAGCAACCAACGTGCCCATCAATAGATGAATGGATAAATATATGTTTTATACACACAACAGAATATTACGCAGCCATAAAAACGAATGAAATCTTGCCATTTGTGATGACATAATAGATCTTGAGAGTATTATGCTAAATGAAATAAGTCAGACACAGAAAGACAAATACCATATGATTTCCTTATATGTGGACTCTAATAAACAAAACAAAACCAAACTCATAGATAGAGCAGCTAGATGTTTGCCAGAGGAGAGGAGGAGTGGGGGTGGGTGGGTGAAATAGGTAGAGGAAATCAAGAGGCACAAACTTTCAGTTTTAAAATTAATGTCAGGGAATACAGTCAATAATATTGCATTAACCTTGTGTGATGACACATGGTAACTATACTTTTTGTGATGATCTTTATAATGTATATAAACATCAAATCATTATGTTATAGACCTGAAACTAATATAATATTGTATGTTAATTATACTTCAATTTAAAAAAGAGGTAAAAAAAAAAAAAAGCAAAGAACCAAAGATACTCAATAAAACAGTAAGGTATGTCACTGGCTGGGTTGCTCAGTTTGGCTGGAGCATCATCCTAAAACACCAAGGCTGCAGGTTCAATCTCCAGTCAGGACACATAAAAGAATTGACAAATGAGTGCATGAATGAGTGGAACAACAAATCAATGTTTCCCTCTCTCTCCCTCCCTCTCTCTCTCCCTCTTCCTTCCTCTCTCTCTGTAGAATCAATGTTTTTTTTATCCTCACCAGAGGACACTTTTCCATTTTTGTTCAGATAGAGTGGGAGGGAGAGAGGAAGAGAGAGAGAGAAACATCAACATGAAAGGGACACATCGAGTGGCTGCCTCCCACACGACCCAAACCAGGGGTATGCAACAGAGGTACATACCCTTGACCAGAATCAAGCCCGCGACTCATTGGTCCACAGGCCCACACTCTAACCGCTGAGCCAAACTGGCCAGAAATACAATGTGACCAAAAGTGAGAGTCAATCTAACTGTACTTCTCAAAATTAAGTTTATTTCTCAAAAATGGATTTGAAAAATATGGGCCAGCCATCTGCAAATCCCTAATTATAAAATAATTCATTTAATATATATGACTAGCCCTGGTAGCTCAGTTGGTTACAGTGGCATTCCAATACACCAAGGTTGTGGGTTTGATCCCTGGCCAAGGTACATACAAGAATCAACCAACGAATGTATAATAAATAAGTGGAACAATAAATCGGTGTTTCGCTCTCTCTCCCTCTCTCTCTAATATATGACAAAATTTGGCTATAATCACTTACTCATGGTCATACAAAATGAATCAAAACCTTTTGATTCAAATGAATAAAAGTTGGCCTTTTATTTATTTATTTATTTATTTAATCCTCATCCGAGGACACTTTTCCATTTATATTCAGATAGTGCAGGAGGGAGAGAGGGAGGAAAAGAGAGAGAGAAATATCAACGTGAAAGAGACACACCAACCGGTTGCCACCTATACAACCCCAACTGGGGCCCAGGACAATCTGCAAGTGAGGTACGGGCCCCTAGCAGAAACCGAATCCAGGTCTCTCTGGTCTGCAGGCCAATGCTCTAACTGCTGAGCCAAACCGGCCAGGGCTATTTTTTTATTTTACAGTGCTATGATGAATTAGAAAGAGCATTAAATTAGTACCTAGAAAACCAGGTTTTCTAGTGCTGGCTCTACCATTTAACAGCTTTGTGATTTTTGGTGTATCAATACACCTCTGTGCATTTCAATTTCCTTTATACTTATAAAACTGGAGATAATCATTCCTCCCTTATAGGCTGTGAGAATCAAATAAAAACATATATGAAAAAATACATATATAAAGATGATTAAGTAGTCTTTATTTTACTGATTACTGAATATATGAATACATACCTTCCATTTCACATCTCGGCGAGCAAGTGGAATAAATCTTCCATCAAACATATGAGAAAATGGCCCATGACCTTAAAAACAAAAGCAGCCTTAGAACAAAAAAAGTGTAAAAACTGAGTTGATTTTTAAAAATATATTTTGTTTTAACTTGAATATCAACAAAAATCAATAATCTAGAAATACATCACAAAAAGGGACAAATCCTTCCTTCCTATTTTCTAAAAACAAGGAAACAGAAAGCAGAGCCATATGGGAAAGTAAGCTCTCCCTAGAGGGGTCTCTGAGTCACCAGAACTCACATAACTTTGTTGAAAAGACACTTTTGTGTAACTGAAAGGAACGTTAATGACAAAAACTTTTGGCATCTGTAGGTTGAATATCTATTAAAACAGCAGCTTTAAGACAATCCACTGGGATGCAGGAATAAAATATTAGAACTTTATTTTATTAGTTTCATCCTTTAAAAACATCTATTTTTATGTAAATCTTATAATGTACATAATTTATTTAGAATAAATATATGCATATCAGTGCTGTTTCCTGGGTTTTTACTGCTTATGTGAACCATCAAAAATGGAAATCACAAGTTTATCTTTATCATAAGTGATTTTAACATTTCACAACATTTAATAATATAAAATTTGGTTGAGGCAAAACTCTGGAATTATCAGAATTTCTATAGAAGTGAATTACTTGGCTGGAGAGGGAGCCTACCTGGACCAGTCATGGGTTTTTCTGCATGTCACAGTCTGTACATAATAGCTCATTACTGTAGTACTCAGACTCCTGGGGACTGGCAAAGGTTTCCTAATGATTCTCTCTTAAAATATCAGGAATCTGTTAAATTTATTAAGTGGGGGAGTATGAGGCCTACTGAAATCTCCAAGGGGACATGATGAAAAGAATGTCCCACCCCTTTAAGTATTTGGCTATTAAAATACAGACACACACCCTTTTCCTGCCCTAAGGGCACACATAAATTCTCAGGGTCCTCCAATAGGTAGGACGAAACTACAAGGACTGGGGTAAAACTCCAGTGATAAAAGAATACAGTCATGCCCCGCCAGTGTGGCTCAGTAGTTGAGCATTGACCCATGCACCAAGAGGTCACCAATTCAATTCCCGGTCAGGGCACACGCCCAGGTTGTGGGCCCAATCCCCAGTGGAGGGCATGCAGGAGGCGGCCAACCAATGTTCTCTCTCATCGTGTTTCTCTCTCTAAAATCAATAAAGAAGAGACTTCCAGTCACGATGGCGGCGTAGGTAAATGCGGTATCGCGTCCTCCCACAACCATGTTAAAGTTACAACTAAACTACAGAACAAACATCATTCAAAACCGCCTGAAATCAAGCTGAATGGAAGTCCTACAACTACGGAATTAAAGCAGCAGCCACATCAAGACTGGTAGGAGGGGCGGAGGCGGATGGGCTGGTCCCACGCCCAAGTGTGGTGGATAAAAATCAGGAGTACACCTCGGCTGGGAAGGTCCTCCCTGAGGAGTGAGGGGTTCCCATCACACACCAGGCGCCCCGCTCAGGATTCCAGTGCCAGGAAGAGAAGTCCTCATAACTGCTGGCTACAAAACCAGCAGGAACTGAGGCTCTGGGAGACTGAGGCGGCTAGAGCTCCAGGCAGCTCCTTAAAGGGCCGGTGCACAGACTTATCAGACTCACTTCCTCTAAGCTTGGAGGGGAGGCAGTTCGAGGGGCACCAGAGACATACAGGGAAGAACTGAGCTGTTTGGCACTGGAGCGAGGGCTGGACAGGGGGCTTTCTCCTGGACAGTCATGCTGTCAGAGGCCTTTGTTCCTTTGGCAAGCCCTTCCCTGGGGCGGCAGACAGCCTTCATATCTGGGACTCCAGCAACCTGGCTCACACTGTTACCCTGCCTTGGTGATTCCCTGAGGCCCCACCCCGCCCCACCCCACTTTCAGGCCCACCCAACTTTCAGGCCCACCCAAGCTGTTGCCACTTGCTTAACCATAGGATTGGCCTGTCTTGGATCCTGCTTCAGGTTTTCCTAAATTCTTTCAAACAAGCAGCATCTGGTCTCAGCTAGCGCCATACCTCTCGTTAAGTAATACATAGAAACAAACACAGGAAGGCAGCCAGTATGAGGAGACAAAGAAACAGGTCCCAAATTAAAGAACAGAACAAAACCCCAAGAAAAGAACTAAGTGAAATGGAGATAAGCAACCTAACAGATGCTGAGTTAAAAATACTGCTTATAAGGATGCTCAATGAACTTAGTGAGAACCTCAGCGAACTTAGTGAGGGCCTTAAAAGCATAAAAAAGGAGCAGTCAGAAATGAAGGATGCACTAACTGAAATAAAGAATAATTTACACAGATTCAATAGTAGAGTAGGTAAAACCAAAAAGCAAACCATCGATTTGAAATACAAGAAAGCAAAAAACACCCAAAGAACAGCAAAAAGAAAAAAGAATCCAAAAAAATGACAATAGTGTAAGGAGCCTCTGGGACAACTTCAAGCGTGCCAACATTTGCATCTAGGGGGTGCCAGAAGGAGAACAGAGAGAACAAGAAATCGAAAACCTGTTTGAAACAATAATGGCAGAAAACTTCCCTAACTTGGTGAAGGAAACAGACATACAAGTCCAGGAAGCACAGAGAGTCCCAAACAATATGAACCTAAAGAGGCCCACACCAAGACACATCATCATCAAAATGCAAAAGGTTCAAGACAAAGAGAGAATCTTAAAAGCAGCAAGAGAAAAGCAGTTATTTACCTACAAGGGAGTTCCCATAAGGCTGTCAGCTGATTTCTCAAAAGAAACTTTGCAGCCAGAAGGGAGTGGCAAGAAATATTCAGAGTGATGAAAAACAAGAACCTACAACCAAGATTACTCTATCCTACAAAGCTGTCATTTAGAATCGATAGCCATATAAAGAGTTTCCCAGACAATAAAAAGTTAAAGGAGTTCATCACCACCAAACTGTTATTATATGAAATGTTGAAAGGTCTTTTTGAAGAATAATATATGAACAAACAAAATGGCAATGAATACATATCTATCAACAATTGAATCTACAAACAAAATGAACAGACAGAACAGAAACATTTTCATAGATACAGAGAACATTTTGTTGGTTGCCAGATGGGAGAGGGGTTGGGGGAATGGATGAAAAAGGTGAAGGGATTAAGAAATACAAATTGGTTGCTAGACTTACAAACCTCAAAGGGAAGGGGGTTGGGGGGTGGGAAGAAATAAACCAAAGAACTTATATGCATAACCAATGGACACAGACAACAGTGTGGGAAAAGGCAGGAGGGGGGCGGGAGTGGGGAGGAGGGGGTCAGTGGGGGAAGAATGAGGAACATCTGTAATACATTCAACAATAAAGATAAAAATAAATAAATAAAATCAATAAAGAAAAAAAATACAGTCTCTTTTCTCTTTCTGTGTCAAAGGAAATGGATAATATTCTTTTCCTTGGATTTAAGTGTCCCAAGACCTCAGATGGGTCAGGGAAGAGAATGAATTCTCTCAATCTTTTGTTAATCTGCTAGGGCAGATTATATAGTCTAGGTTATGAGAAAATTGTATCTGACAAAGTAACTGAATGTAAATGGCAATTTTATTCAACAAGGATAAAAGAAAAACCAAATTCACATCATCCTAAACAGAGTAGTTAGAAAACCTCACTATCAGGAAATACTTATAATTTGTAGCAACAGTGTTTAACATGGGAAATTAACTGAGAGGCTACAAAAATAAAAATAAAATAGCAACGCCTTGGTTTTACAAATCATTCTAGGAAGATGCTATGGCACATTTATATTAATGTTAACTGAAGAATTAAAACACAACTTTTATATTTCTCTTGGTTAGTCAAAGTGTTTATTTCAAAGAGAGGTAACATGTTATGGTTTTTCACAACAGCCTTGGTTCTTTGTATAGCTTACCGAGATCATGGCAAAGCCCAGCAATCTGAACACAAAGTATATCTCGTTCACTTATGTGCAGCTCTGGTTGTTTTTCACTCAGTTCTCGAACTAGACGTCCTGCTAGATACCCTACACTGCAAAACAAAAAAAAAAACAAATCAAAACCAAAAAGTCTCTTTTGTTTGAAAGATAAAAATGACATGTTGGCCCTGGTCAGTTTGGCTCAGTGGTTGGAGCGTCGGCCTGTAGATTGGAGAGTCCCAGGTTCGGTTCCCACAGAGGGCACGTATGCAGTTTGTCCCCGGCCCTGGTTGGGGTCGAGTGGGTTGCAGCCACTCAGTGTGTCTCTCTCATATTGATGTTTTTCTCTCTCTCTGTCTCCTCTTCCCTCTCTCCTTTCCGCTCTGTCTCAGGATGGGTGCAAGGGTGTCCTCGGGTGAGGATTAAAAAAAAAAAAAAAGTGATACTTTGGTCCTCAAGAACTTTTTTTTATACTCACCCGAGGACATTTTTCCATTTTTTTTTTGTTCAGAAAGAGTAGAAGGGAGAGAGAGGAAGAGAGAGAGAAACATCAATGTGAAAGGGACATATTAAGTGGCTGCCATCCACACAACCCAACCAGGGCTGGGGACAAACTGCAACTGAGGTACGTGCCCTCAGCGGGAACCGAACCCAGGTCTCTCTGGACCAAAGGCCGATACTCTAACCGCTGAGCCAAAGTGGCCAGGTCAAGAACTCTAATGTTTCTCAAATGTAATATATCTCTAGGAAAACTTAACAGAATAGTGTTTCAGAACTTGGCAAGAACACACAAACAGAATCCCAAAGCAGGACCTCTTGACTCAGCATCACTAATCATTAGGGAAATAAAAAATCAAAACCACAATGACATAATACCTCACACCCATTAGGATGGCTGTTATTGAAAAAACAAAACAAATAATAACAAATGTTAGCCTGGATGTGGAGAAATTAGAACCCATGAATACTGTTAATGTAAATGTATAATGGTACAGCCACTAGGGAAAACAGTATGGTGGTTCCTCAAAAAATTAAAACTAGCATTACCATAGGATCCAGCAACTCCATTCTGGGTATATATCCAAAACAAATGAAAGTAAGGTCTTTAAGATATATTTGCACACTCGTGTTCACAGCAGCATAATTCACAATAGCCAAAGAGGCAGAATCAACTCAGTGTCCACCAATGAATGAAAAAAGGATAAACAAAATGTAATATATACATACAATGGAATATTAGTCAATCTTAAAAAGTAATAAATTCTGACATATGCTCCAACGTGGAGGAACCTTGAGGAAATTATACAAAGTGAAACAGCCAGTCACAAAAAAACAAATACTATATATCACTTATATGAGGTACCTAGAGTAGTCTAATTCATAGAAACAGAAAGTAGAATGGTGGTTATCAGGGTCTGGGGACAGGGGGGAATGGGGAATTGTTATTTGATGGGTAGAGAGTTTCAGTTTTGCAAGGTAAAAAAAGTTTTGGATCTTGCTGGCACAATAATGTAACTATATTTAACACTATTGAACTGTGTACTTAAAAATGGTTAAGATGGTAAATTTTACATTCTATATATTTACCACAATTTTTTAAAAAGCAGGATTTCTGCTTTGTAATGTTTACAACATAAATTGAAGATAAAATGCCTAACAAATGTTAAATGCACTTGTAGCACTTCCCCCTGAAAGTCATTTCTTAATGAATGCAGTATCTTTCTTCTCTAAATGCTGAGCTCCATGAGGAGAGAGACGATTGCTATCTTGTTGGTTTGGTAGGGCCTAGTAAGTTTTCAATAAATATTTATTGATGAATGAATAAACATTTGTGTTCTGGATAATTAAAAATGCTTCAAGCCCTGGCCGGTTTGGCGCAGCGGTTGGAGCGTCGGCCTGCGGTACTGAGAGACCCAGATTCGGTTCCCGCTAAGGGCACGTACCTCGGTTGCAGTTTGTCCCCGGCCCTGGTTGGTCGTGCGGGTGGCAGCCACTAGATGTGTCCCTTCACATCGATGTTTCTCTCTCTCTCTTCCTCTCTCTCCCTCCTGCTCTATCTGAACAAAAAATGGAAAAATGTCCTCGGGTGAGGATAAAAAAAAAAAAAGCTTCAAAATAAGCAAACAAAAAGTAATACTGTGAGTACTTCATGAAAATATGGCAAATTGTCCTGTTCTTCTCTGCTTATGTCCTCCTGGCTATACATTTCATAATGGAAAAGCAAACCAGTCTCAAACTTAGTTGCATACACAGGAAGTGCCACCTTCTCTGAGCTTGTGAATGCTTTTCTGACTTACACATTCCCTGTTTTCAAAGGGCAATCTGTACATGACTAAACAGGAACTATAGGAAAATTAATAATCAAACTTACAAAGTTAATTACACCAGTAACCAATCCTATTAGCTTTTTTTTTTTTTTACCCTCACCCAAGACATTTTTGCATTTATCTTCAGAAAGAGTGAGAGGGAGAGGAGGAAGAGAGAAAGAGAACATCGACGTGAGAGACACACATTGAGTGGTTGCCATCCACATGATCCCAGCGAGGGCCAGGGACAAACTGCAACTGAGGTACATGCCCTTAGCGGGAACCGAACCTGGCATTCTCTGGTCTGTGGGCCGACGCTTTAAATATAAATATTTCAACCAAATTACCTCAGTAGACATTTTCATTATTTTTCCAGGAAGGATCTGGGGTGGCTTATAAAAGTACATAAAGTAAATAAAATACAGCAAAGTAAGCCAAAGCCTCAATTTATTTTTTAACATTTTAAATAATTAATTTTTGTTACAGGTATTTCTTCTTTTTCCCCCAATGACACCCTCCTCCTGTCCCCCCCACCCCCCGCCACCAGCATTGTTGTCTATGTCCATAGTTATGCACAGATGCATGTAAGTTCTTTGGTTTTTTATCCATTCCCTTCCCCCCACCTCCTCCTCTGAAGTTTGTCAGTCTGAACCCTACTTCCATGTCTGCGGGTCTATTTTGTTCATCACCTTATTTTGTTCATTATATTCCACAAATAAGTGAGATCATGTGATACTTGTTTTTCTCTGACTGGCTTATTTTGCTTAGCATAATACTCTCCAGGTCCCTCCATGTTGTCTCAAAGGATAAGAGATCTTTCTTTCTTACAGCTGCATAGTATTCCATTGTGTATATGTACCACGACCTTTTTATCCACTCATGTATTGATGGACACTTTGGCTGTTTCCAGATCTTGGCAATTGTAAATAGTGCTGCTATGAACATAGGGGTACAAATATTCTTTCTGATTAGTGTTTCAAGTTTCTTAGAATATATTCCTAGAAGTGGGATCACTGAGTCAAATGGCAGTTCAATTTTTAATTTTTTGAGGAAACACCATATTGTTTTCCACAGTGGCTGCACCAATAAAACCTCAATTTTTAATCAATAAAATAAATATATTATCACTATTTTGTAAAACTATTCTCTAAAAGATGAGACAATAACTTCATGAGACAGAGAAGGTACTTAATAACTCTAAGTTCCCCACCCCAACCCCCTTCTTACCCTAGACTATGTTCAAATCGATTGTGTGAAGCTCCTGGAAAAACATAGTAAGCACCTCCCAATTGTTTAATGTATCGAAGCCGCTGAAATTGAGGTGTGTCGATGATTTTGATAAGGAGAGGGTGAAATTCAATATGGCCATGGATAGGATCATTAATTACCTAGAAAATTGTGTTTAAACAAATATAAGTAACAATACATATAACTCGATCTAAAACTTTTTATGCAGCCATGCCTATCTACAGTGCAAAGTCAAAACCGTTTAATTGTTCTCAAGACTAATACTAAGGGAAATGACAAGATATTAATATCATTATCTTATTTAGATATCATTATCAGATCAAGTATATTAGATCAGGGAATATTTTACTTCTTCTAATGGATTCTAATAACAGAAAGATAAGAATTTCAATCTTTTTATTACATATATTATTTAAATAGCCTTTATAAGTTAATTTTGCATTTAAGTTAAACATACTCATTTAACATACTCATTCAGATCACATAAGCCATATTACTACTGGCACTGTGTCTACATTTTTTTCTAAATGTATCTATATAGTACCCATCACTAACATTCTAAGAAAGAAAAAAAAAAAGAAAAGAAAAGAAAAAATAAAAGAAACCCTACTACCATGTAGGTAAGAAATCATAGGCAGGAACATAAAATTCTATAGTACCTATAATGTCACTCAGAAATATGTATACTTAGTAAAGATAAATTCACATTTACTTATTATTCTTAAGTAATAAGTAAAATTTTTTTTTTAATCCTCACCTGAGGATATTTTTCCATTTGTCTTCAGACAGAGTGAAAGGGGGGTAGAGAGAGAGACAGAGAGACATCGATGTGAGAGAGACACATTGACCAGTTGCCTCCCATATCACCCCAACCAAAGCACAACCGAGGTATGTGCCTTTGAGTGGAACTGAACTAGCAATTCTTTGCCCCTTGGGCCGATGCTCTAACTGCTGAGCCAAACTAGCCAGGGCTTATTACTCTAGGTTTGTTTGTTTATTTATTTATTTATTTATTTATTTATTTATTTATTTATCTTTTAATCCTCACCTGAGGATATTTTTACCTTTCTCTTCAGATAGACTGGAGGGAGAGAGAGAGAGAGAAACATTGATGTGAGAGAGACACATCGATTGGTTGCCACCCGCATGACCCCAACCGGGGCCAGGTACAAACTGCAACCAAGGTACTTGCCCTTGGCCAGAATCGAACCCAGGACTTCCTGGTCCGCAGGCCGATGCTCTAACCACTAAGCCAAACTGGCCAGGGCTTATCTTATCGCTCTGAGTTTAAAACGAAGCTTTAAATATCAGTGAAAAGCCTGCTGGTATGGCTCAGTGATTGAGCATTGACCCATGTACCAAGAGGTCGCCGGTTCGATTCCAGGTCAAGGCATATGCCCAGGTTGTGGGCCCAATCCTCAGTGGGGGGCATGCAGGAGGTGGCCAATCGATGTTCCCTTTCATCAATGTTTCTAGCTCTCTCTCCTTCTCCTTTCCTCTCTCTCTAAAAAGCAATGAAGAAAAAAAATTAAATAAATATGGGTAAAAATTTAATGCCCCTCTATGTTTCTTTCTTTCTTTATTATTATTATTTTTTTATCCTCACCCGAGGACATTTTTCCATTTTTTTGTACAGATAGAGTGAAAGGGAGAGAGAGGAAGAGACAGAGAGAGAGAAACATCGACGTGAAGGGACACATCGAGTGGCTGCCACTGCATGACCAACCAGGGCCGGGGACAAACTGCAACCGAAGTACGTACCCCCAGCGGGAACCGAACCCGGGTCTCTCCGGACCGCAGGCCGATGCTCTAACCGCTGAGCCAAACCGGCCAGGGCCCTCTATGTTTCTTTAAAGATACATCTTTCTTAACTGTCCATAACTGACTTTTTTGTTGTTGTTGTTGTTGTTTTTGTTTTTTTTAAATTAATTATTTTTGTGGTACGTGCCCCTAGCGGGAACCGAACCTGGGACTCTCTGGTCCACAGGCGGATGCTGAACCGCTGAGCCAAACTGGCCAGGGCTGTTGTTGTTGTTAATCCTCACCCAAGTACATTTTTTCATTCATTTATTTATTTTTTTAAATCCTCACCCGAGGACACTTTATTTCCATTTATCTTCAGATAGAGTGGGAGAGAGGAAGGGGGGTGGGAGAGAAACATTGATGCTAGAGAGACACATTGACTGGCTGCCTCCTGCAAGACACCAAACAGGGCAGGGGACGAACTGCAACTGAGGTACGTGCCCTTGACCAGAACTGAACCCACAACTTTTGGTCTGTGGGCCGACACTCTAACTGCTGAGCCAAACCAGCCAGGGCTTTCCATTGATTTTTCAAAGTGTGGAAGGGAGGAAGTGGGAGAGGGGGAGAGGGAGGGAGAGAGGGAGAGGGAGAGGGAGAGAGAGAGAGAGAGAGCGCGCGAAACATCGATGTAAGAGAGACACATCCACCTGTTGCCTCCTGCACGACCCTGACCGGGGCCAGGGATTGAACCTGCAACCCAGGTATGTGTCCTTCATTGGGAAATGTATCTGCGACCCTTTGGTCCTCTGGCCAATGCTCCAACCACTGAGCCAAACCAAGGCCAGGGACATAACTGATTTTTTTTTCTTTATTGATTTTAGAGAGAGAGAAATGGAGAGGGAGATAGAAAGATCGATGAGAAAGAACATCGATTGGCTGCCTCCTACATGCCACCCACTGGGGATTGGGCCCACAACCTGGGCATGTGCCCTGAACTGAAATTGAACCGGCGGCCTCTTGGTGTATGGGTTGATGCTCAACCACTGAGCCACATCAGCCAGGCTCTCTTACTTGTTTTTATTAATCCTTCTCTAAATGTAAGTATAGCTCACAATAATTTCAATGTATTAAACATTTTGGGTCCTTATTTAGAAGTTTGGTGATGTTTTTGTGACCAGAAATATGCCATAGGAACTTAACTCTTCTTTATATCAGTTAGCTTTTGGTGAAACTGGTTTAATTATGTCATTTTGTTCAAAGTTGCAGTATCCAAGAAACTATTCACAACATTAGATAAGGACTTACTGTACTGGTCTATTTCTTCCCCCTTATACAAGATCAATGTAACCATCACAAACAAATAAGAATACATTTAATCATTAAACCTTATCAAAGAGCCCAGCCAGTGTGGCTCAGTGGTTGAGTGTCGACCCATGCACCAAGAGGTCGCCAGTTCGATTCCCGGTCAGGGCACATGCCTAGGTTGTGGGCCTGATCCCCAGTCGGGGGCATGAAGGAGGCAGCCGATCGATGTTCTCTCTCATCGATGTTTGTATCTCTCCCTCTCCCTTCCTCTCTCTCTAAAAATCAATAAAGAAAAAAATGTTTAGCCCTGGCCTGTTTGGCTCTGAGGTTAGAGCATCAGCCTGCGGTCCAGAGAGACCTGGGTTCGGTTCCCGCTAAGGGCATGTATCTCGGTTGCGGTTTGTCCCCGGCCCTGGTTGGGTCATGCAGGTGGCAACCACTTGATGTGTCCCTTTCATGTCGATGTTTCTCTCTTTCTCTCTCCCTCCCACTCCATCTGAACAAAAACAAAAGGGAAAAATGTCCTCAGGTGAGGATAAAGAAAAAAATGTTAAAAAAAAAAAAATTTATCAAAGCAGCTCAGCCAGTGTGGTTCAGTGGTTGAGCGTTGTTGATACATGCACCAAGAGGTTTCCGGTTCAATTCTTGGTCATGGCACATGCCCAGGTTCTGAGCCCAATCCTCAGTGGGGAGTAGGCAGGAGGAGGCCAATCGATGTTCTCTCTCATCGATGTTTCTATCTCTCTCTCTAAAATAAATAAAGAAAAATATTTTTAAAAAAGATATAAAAATAATTCTATGATCTACATTTAACCCGTCTAAAAGTCTTCACTGTCAATTTTCCAGGTGTAATAACTGTTTTTTTGGTGTGTAATAACTGTTTTTAAAACATTTCTTTCACCCTAGGTATGCTAAAACAAATTCAAGCAATTTTATGAAACAAAATAAAGAACTTAAAAATTAATATCATACCCCAGCCGGTTTGGCTTGGGGTTAGAGCATCAGCCTTCGGACAAAGGTTCGCCAGTTCCATTCTCACTCAAGGGCACATACCTAGGTTGAAGGTTTGATTCCTGGCCCGGTTGGGGTCATGTGGGAGGCAACCAATCGATGTGTCTCTCTTACATTGATGTTTCTCTCTCTCCCTCCCTCACTCCCTTCCCCTCTATCTAAAAATCAATGGAAAAATACCCTTGGGTGAGGATAAAAAAGAAAACAAAATTTAATATCATAGTATACACATACTCTTTTCATGTCAAAATGCATTCTGAGCACTTTCTCTTGTTTTTATAAATCTTTTTTTTGCAAGGGGGGGGATTAACAATCCTCACCAGAGGATATTTTTCCCTTTGATTTTTTGAGAGAGTGGAAGGTGGGGAGAGACAGAGAGAGAGAGAGAAAGACGGAAACATCAATGTGAGAAATACACATCAATTAGTTCCCTCCTGTATGCACACCAATAGCCTGCAACCCAGGTATATGCCCTTGACCAGAAATCGAACCCACGACCTTTTGGTACTGGGGCTGATGCTCTAACCACTGAGTAACACTGGCCAGGGCACAACACAAATATTTTTGATGTAATATTCAAGGTAGCTAATAAAATCTCATTTGTCCACTTTTATTCTTTTTAAAAATTTTTCATCAGCACTGGCTAGTTTGCTCAGTGGTTAGAGCATTGGCCTGCAGATCAATGAGTTGCGGGTTCTATTCCAGTCAAGGGCACATACCTCAGTCGCGGTCCATCCTTGGCCCTGATTGGGGTTGTGTGGGAGGCAGCCAGTTGATGTGTCTCTTTCACATCGATGTTCTTTCTCTCCCTCCCTCCCTTCCACTCTACCTAAAAATCAATGCAAAAATGTCCTCAGGTGAGGATTAACAGCAAAAAAATTATTCTATGGTTAAGGGTGCTAACTTGGGCTGTTTGTGTCAATGTGGATGATTCTCAAAAATATGTTAGCCTTGGCCAGTGTGACTCAGTTGGTTGGAGTATCATGCCATCCAATTGAAGGGTTGAGTTCAAATCCGATCAGGGCACACACCCAGGTTGCAAGTTTGATCCCTGGTCAGGTGCATACTGGAGGCAACTGGTCTTGGTCTCTCGGTCTCTCTCTCTCTCCTCCCCGCTCTCTAAAATCAATAAAAAAATATCCTTGGGTGAGGATTATAAATATATAATAATTATTACATATTATATATATAAAATATATACTATTAAAGGAAAGTTACTTAATATGAAGTATGATTTATATAAAATTTTAAAACATGTAAAACAATACATTATTTATGGCTAATATGTAGTAAAAGTACAAAACATTCATGAAAGTTATTATTATTAATAGGTTTTCATTGATTTCAGAGAGAGAAGGGGAGAGGGAGAGAGAGATAGAAATATCAGTGAGAGAGAAACATCAATTGGCTGCCTTCTGCATGCCCCCTACTGGGGAATGAGCCACAATCCAGGCATGTGCCCTGCCCAAAAATTCAACAGGTGACCTCCTGGTATATGGGCTGATGCTCAACTGAGCCATACCGGCTGGGCTAGTATTTGTTTGTTTAATCAAGGATATTTTTTTCATTAATTTATTTTTATTTTTTTAGAGAGAGTAGAAGGGAGGGAGGGAAGTGAGGGAGAAAAAGAGGGTTTGGTTGTCTCCTACACAATCCCAACCTGTTCCGGGGATCGGACTGGAAACCCAAGTAGGTGCCCTCAACTGGAATTGAACCCAAGACCCTTTTGTCTGAGGAATGATGTTCTAACTGCTGAGAAAAACCAGCCAGGGCTCCTTCCATTCTTCTTTGTTTTTGGTTTTTTTTTTTACTTTACTGACTTTTTAGAGAGAGAGGAAGGGAAAGGGAGAGAGAGATAGAAACATCGATGAGAGATAACATCCATTGGCCACCTCCTGCACGCCCTCTACTGAGAATTTGGTCCACAACCTGGGCATGTGCCCTGACTAGGAATTGAACTGGTGACCTCTTGGTTAATGGGTCGCTGCTCAACCACTGAGCCACACTGGCTGGGCCCTTCCATTCTTCTTAAAATGAATTCCAGATAATTGAGTTATCTCACTTTATATTTAAAAAAAAAAAACAATAAAAAACTTAGATTCCGCCCTGGCCGGTTTGGCTCAGTGGTTTGTTGGGGTATCGGCCTGAGGATCAAAGAGTCTTGGGTTCAATTCTGGACAAGAGTGGTGCGTACCTCAATTGCAGTTTGGTCCCTGGCCCTGGTCAGGGTCATGTGGGAGGCAACCAGTTGATGTGTCTCTCTCACAATGATGTCTCTCTCTCTCGCCCCCTCCCTCCCACTCTATCTGAAGATAAACGGAAAAATATTCTCATGTGAGGATTTAACAAAAAAACTCTAAAAAACAAACAAACAAACAACTTAGATTCCTCTTACCTTCACTGCATCAACACAAGTTTTACTCAGTCTGATACAATTAAGCAGCTTCCTTCTCTCCCACAAGGAACTAAAATTATAACAGGATAGGTAAATCTGTTATTATTTGCTTAACAATTGCTAAAGTATATAATAGTATATAATCAACTCTAAATTATCTACACCAATAGAAAGAGAAGTCAGAGCAAAAGGAACAATTTAATAATTCAAATTATTCCTCCTAGAAGCTCTCCTTTCTTTGCTTCTAAGACATGAAACTCTCCCCCTAGGTTTCTGCCCTTGATCATCTTCTCTCTTGGTAAACTCAGACTTCAACATCTCCTACATCTCAACTGAATGCTCAATTTATACTTCAGACCTATTTTAACCTAACACATACCTTCACAATCCTGAATATGCATGACTCATACAAGTGAAAACTCAAAATACCACTCTTGAAGTAGAACATAGTGATAATGAAAAAGGACTTTTGAATCAGACAGAACTAGCTCACATCTGCACATGGAATCCATAAGTGATCTTGGCAAAGTCATTTAACCTTGTTTGTTTGGTACATTGACATTCTCATCTATAGCGCAGGGATGATACCATCTACATCACAGGGCTGAAAAGGGAGTAGACTGTGTTCGACACTGGGGTTACAATAAAGACTCAGTTCCTGCCCTCAATAGCTATAGGAGAATGTTAACTATGATTACAGGTACTACAGAAATTATTACTGATAATAAATTCAATATTTATCCCTCAGCAGTGTTTTAACTACAAGATCTAAGAATTTATTAGTGTAACCAAGTGGTGAATAAGTAAACAATTATCTAAATTGGCCAAAGATGTTATATGTAGTCTTCCTGTAGGAAGATGACATTTGTTTAACAACTAAGCCTTTGTCATATCAAAATAACTTTCAGCCCCGGCCAGTTTGGCTCAGTGGTTGGAGTGTCGGCCTGCGGACCAGAGAGTCCTGGGTTCACTTCCCACTAGAGGCATGTACAAAAAAATAAAATAAAATAACTTTCAAAGAGAAATAATTATTGCTTACTGTAATTAAGAACAGTCAAATCAAATGCAAATGTCTTGGATATAATGAAAGCTTTAAAAATGCAGAACAATACAAGACTCCTTAGCAGGGGTGGTTGTCAGTCACATGATCAGTGCATTAATGGACTTTTTTATTGATTATTAGTACTAATCAAATATACGTGAAAGTTTTAGCTTTATTTATACCCATCTTACTTTGTCAGTAATCCCTCATAATGCTCCAATTTTGAGAAAGAATTTAATAGAAATTAAACAGCTCAAAATCCTGTAATTTGTTATACTGCTGAATGTGGTATACTACTTATATTAGTCTGACTAGCCATAGAACTAAAATGAGACTGTACTAACAAAGTAAACTTACAAAAGAATTTAAATAAAGCCACCTATATTAATCTTTGTAAATGTTAAACCAGTTTGTTACTCTAACCTGATTTTTCTCAAAACTGGAGCGTGCATGTTAAAAGTTTTTTTTTAGCATACTTCACAGTTCAAGAGTTTCCATTCCTTTGTGAACCTAGGCAGCAGCCTGGCCTCAAGATCCAGCTGACACTCACCATCCAGTCACAGGAATTCAAGTGACAAAAGTACAGATGACCAATTCAAAAATGGTGACCATAAAGATCAATATCAAGCCCGCAGGCGTGGCTCAGGGACTGAGCATCGACCTATGCACCAGGAAGTCCCTGGTTCAATTCCGGTCAGGGTCAATGCCCAGGTTGTGGGCTTGATCCCCTGTGGGAGGCATGCGGGAGGCGGCCAATCGATGCTCTCTCTCATCATTGTTTCTCTCTCTCCCTCTCCCTTTCTATTTCTCTAAAAATCAATAAAGAAAAAAATTTTTAGCCCTGGCCAGTTTGGCTCAGCGGTTAGAGCGTCAGCCTGCGGTCCTGAGAGACCTGGGTTCGGTTCCCGCCAAGGGCACGTACTTCGGTTGCAGTTTGTCCCCGGCCCTGGTTGGTCGTGCGGGTGGCAGCCACTCGATGTGTCCCTTCACGTCGATGTTTCTCTCTCTCTCTCCCTCCCACTCTATCTGTACAAAAAATGGAAAAATATCCTTGGGTGAGGATAAAAAAAAAAAAAAAAAAAGAAAAAAAATTTTAAAAATAGCCCTGGCCGGTTTGGCTCAGCGGTTAGAGCGTTGGCCTGCGGTCTGGAGAGACCGGGTTCGGTTCCCGTTAAGGGCACCTACCTCGGTTGCAGTTTGTCCCCGGCCCTGGTTGGGTTGTGTGGGTGGCCACCACTTGATGTGTCCCTTTCACGTCGATGTTTCTCTCTCTCTCTCTCCCTCCCACTCTATCTGAACAAAATATCGAAACATGTCCTCAGGTGAAGATAAAAAACAAAACAACAACACAGGCATGGTTAATCATGCCTGCTATAAATCGCTAACAGCCTTTTCTTAAGCATATTACAGAAACTGGGAATCCTGCCTGGGCCTGGGGTAGCTTTAACACCATATGTGGCTGACATTAAAGATCTGCATCAGGACCAGCAAGAACACTACCTGCATGTCCACAGCCCCCTCCCTGATTTACTTATTTATTTTTTTATAATATATTTTTATTGATTTTTTTAGAGAGAGAGGAAGGGAGAGAGTTAGAAACACTGATGTGGGAAACACTGATCAGCTGCCTCCTGCACACCCCCCTCTGGGGATTAAGCCTGCAACCCAGGCATGTGCCCTGACCAGGAATCAAACCGGGACCTCTCAGCCCTGGCTGGTTTGTCTCAGTGGTTAGAGCATTGGCCTGCGGTCCAGAGAGACATGGGTTCGATTCCTGCTAAGGGCGCATACCTCGGTTGCAGTTTGTCCCCAACCCTGGTTGGCCGTGCAGGTGGCAGCCACTCAATGTGTCTCTTTCACGTCGATGTTTCTCTCTCTCTCCCTCCCTCCTACTCTATCCGAATAAAAAAAATGGTGAGGATTAAAAGAAACAAAAAACCAGGACCTCTCAGTCCATGGGACGATGCTCTATCCACTGACCCAAACTGGCTGGTCCTCCCTCTGATTTCTTTTCTTTTTCTTTTTCTAGATAGAGAGGAAGGGAGAGTGAGAGAGAGAGACAGAAACATCATTGAGAGAGAACATTGATTGGCCGCCTCCTACATGCCCCACACTGGGGATTGGGCCCACAACCTGGGCATGTGCCTCGACCAGGAATTGAACGGGCGACCTCTTGATGCATGGGTCAAACACTCAACCACTGAGCCATACCAGCTGAGCGCTCCCCCTGATTTCTTTGTTCTGCTTTCGCTCTCCTGCCTGATTAAAAAAAACGCTGCCTGCACTGAGAAGTTAAGACGGGCTTTGGGACTAGAGTTCCCCATCTTCTCAGGTGGCCATCACTTAAAAACCTCTTTTCTTCTCACCAGCACCTGTCTCACAAGTTTGTGTTTTGTTGTGGCAGGCAGCCAAACCTGGGTTCAGTTACACTGCTTCATTTACACTTACTAATTGGTCCAGGCATATTAGCCTGGCTGAGTGTCAACAGAGTAGCAGGCAAGGGGTTTGCCTTTCCTGATCTACTAGCTAACTAGATTGAAAAAACAAATCTTTTGCTAAAAGTCCTAGATAGACTTGGAGTCAGAAGCACTACATTGACCTCTATGTTGTACCCTGAGACCCAGGGTGACACAAATCTAAGAATAATTTTCTTGGAATGTATAGAAGCATTATTATAGCTGATAAATCATTAAAGCATTATACCTTGTATTTCATTAGTCCTCTATCTTCCTCATCAGTTTTTTTTTTTAATGTTTTTTATTGATTTTTTTTAGAGAAAAAGGAAGGAAGAAAGAGATAGAAATATCGATGTGTGAGAGAGAGACACTGATCGGCTGCCTCCTGCATGCCCTACACTGGGGATTGAGCCCACAACCTGGGCTTATGCCCTGACCGGGAATCGAACCAGGACACCTCAGTCCATGGGATGATGCTCAATCTACTGAGCCACAATGGCCAGGCTCATCAGTTCTTGTTTTTGTTTTTTTATTGACCTTTTTTTTTAAATCCTCACCCGAGGATATTTTTCCATTTTTTGTACAGATAGAGTGGGAGGGAGAGAGAGGAAGGGAGAGAGAGAGAGAAACATCGACATGAAGGGACACATCGAGTGGCTGCCACCCGCACGACCAACCAGGGCCGGGGACAAACTGCAACCGAAGTACGTGCCCTTAGCGGGTACCGAACCCGCGTCTCTCCGGACCGCAGGCCAACGCTCTAACCGCTGAGCCAAACTGGCCAGGGCTTTATTGACTTTTTGGGGGGGGGGACATCAATTTGTTGTTCCACTTATTGATGCATTCATTGCTTGCTTCTTGTATGTGCCCTGGCCTATCAGGATGACGCTCTAACCAACTAAGCTATCTGGCCAAGGCCACCTCATCAGTTTGATAAAACAAGCATAGGGAAAGGCCAGGCTTCAAGGACTTGTAAGTGAGGTATAACTGATTCAAGGTAAATATAGTTGCAGTCAAGCGCAACCAGGAGTCACAAAGAAAATAATATCAAGTCTAAACTATCCTCACTGCCCAGTATTTTACTGAACTGATACTCAGTATTCACCACTCAATTAAAACGTGAAAAGAAACTATTCATCAAGCAATCACTAGTTAAAAAAAGAAAGAGCCCTGGCCAGTTTGGCTCAGGGGTTAGACCATCAGCCCATGGGCTGAAGGGTTGTGGGTTTGATTCCTGGTCAAGGGCATGTACCTGGTTGGAACATGACCAGGTTGTGGGCTCAATTCCCAATAGGGAGCATGCAGGAGGCAGCTGATTCATGTTTCTCACATCGATGTTCCTCTCTCTTCCTTCCTCTCTCTCTAAAAAACTCAATAAAAACAAAACAAAACAAAAAAGGTAGTAAGGGGCATTTTGAGAGGGAGAAGGGGGTTTGAAAAGTGATTATGAAAGAGGCAAGATGAGCCCTGGCCGGTTTGGCTCAGCAGTTAGAGCGTCGGCCTGCGGTCCTGAGAGACCCGAGTTCGGTTCCCGCTAAGGGCGCGTACCTCGGTTGCAGTTTGTCCCCGGCCCTGGTCGGTTGTGCGGGTGGCAGCCACTCGATGTGTCCCTTTCACGTCGATGTTTCTCTCTCTCTCTCTGTTCCTCCCCCCCCCCCCCACCTGAATAAAAAATGGAAAAATGTCCTCGGGTGAGGATTAAAAAAAAAAAAAAAAAGAAAAGAAAGAGGCAAGATGAGGTCCCTGAAGATTCTGATCCAAAGGACATTTGTTAAAAGTGATCTTTTCTCCACAATCTACCTCCATTATCCATTATTAAGCAATAGCACATGAAGCAATTCAGTATAACCCCTTGTTTTGATTCTTTAGTGACCGTTACCACAAACAATATTTAGCTAAGAGGAATTCTAGAAGATAAGACTATATTTCATCACTGTTGTCAGTTCTCCAAACAAAGCAAAGTCTCCATTTTAAGGAATATTTAAATATTTAAATATTACATCCTCCTTGCTCTGGTTGGTTTGGCTCAGGGGTTAGACCATCAGCCCATGGACTGAAGGGTCTTGGGTTCGATCCCCAGCCTGGTTGGGGTTGTACAGGAGGCAACCAATTGATGTGTCTCTCTCTTTTTTTTTTAATCTTCACCCGAGGACATTTTTCCATTTTTTTGTTCAGATAGAGTGGGAGGGAGAGAGAGGAAGAGAGAAAGAAACATCGATGTGAAAGGGACACATCGAGTGGCTGCCACCCGCACGACCAACTGAGATACATGCCCTTAGTGGGAACTGAACCCGGGTCTCTCTGGACCGCAGGTCGACTCTCTAACCGCTGAGCCAAACCGGCCAGGGCTGATGTGTCTCTTTCACATGGATGTTTCTCTCACCCTCCCTTCGTCCCTACCACTCTATCTAAAAAAAATCAATGAAAAAATATCCTCAGGTGAGGATTAACAAATAAATAGACAAAAACAAAAAAACAACCAAAAAAGAAAGAAATCAGTGAAGTCAATAAAAAGTCACCCAAAACATAGAAGTTTTTTGTTTTGTTTTGGCAAAGGCTATGACAAAATAAATACCTTAGACAAAGATTTAAAGTACTCATGGGCCAGAATAGTTAGACTACAATAAAATTTTATTTCTGTATTTCATCATTTCTGAAATGTAATGTTTCTTACACCTGATGTGCACATTTAATGTGACAATGTTTCTTATTTCCTACAAAAACCTTTCATGTATTTTTTTCTTTTTTTTTTTATCCTCACCTGAGGACATTTTTCCATATTTTGTTCACATAGAGTGGGAGGGGGAGAGAGAGAGAAACATCGACGTGAAAGGGACACATCGAGTGGTTGCCACCCACACAACCCAACCTGGGCCGGGGACAAACTGCACCCGAGGTACATGCCCCCAGCGGGAACCGAACCCGGGTCTCTCTGGACCGCAGGCCGACGCTCTAACCGCTGAGCCAAACCGGCCAGGGCATGTATTTTTTTCTTAATTGATTTTAGAGAGAGGAAGGGAGGAGAGAGTGATAAAAACACTGATAGGAGAGAAGATAGACTGGCCACCTCCTGCATGCCCCTCACTAGGGATTGGGCCCACAACCTGGGCATGTGCCCTGACCAGGAATGAAACTGGTGACCTCTTGGTGCATGGGTCGATGCTCAACCATTGAGTCACACCAGCCAGGCAAAAATGATCTTTTTCCCACAATCTACTTGCGTTATCCATTATTAAGCAATAGTACATGAAGAAATTCAGTATAACCCCTTGTTTTGATTCTTTGATGACTGTTACCACAAACAACATTTAGCTAAGAGGAATTCTAGAAAGTAACACTGTATTTCACCACTGCTGTCAGTTCTCCAAACAAAGCAAAGTCTCCACTTTAAGGAATATTTAAATATTTAAATATTGCATCCTCCTTGCTCTGGCTGGTTTGGCTCACTGGTTAGACCGTCAGCCCGTGGACTGAAGGGTCTTGGGTTCTATTCCCGGTCAAGGGCACATACCTGGGTTGCAGGTTCAATCCCTGTGCAGGATGCAACCAATCAATGTGTCTCTCTCACATCAATGTTTTTCTCTCTCTCCTCCCCTCTCCCTTCTACTCTATCTAAAAAAATTAAGGAGCTCTGGCTGGTTTGGCTCAGCAGTTAGAGCGTCGGCCTGCGGTCCAGAGAGACCTGGGTTCGGTTCCCGCAAAGGGCACGTACCTTGGTTGCAGTTTGTCCCCAGCCCTGGTTGGGGTCATGTGGGTAGCAACCAGTCAATATGTCCCTTTCATGTCAATGTTTCTCTCTCTCTCTCTTCCTCTCTCTCCTTCCCACTCTATCTGAACAAAAAAAAAAAAAAGAAGAAGAAAAAATGTCCTCGGGTGAGGATTAAAAAAAAAAGAAGAAGACCTAGAAATATGATCAAGATAGGGTTCTAGCCTTGATTTTTCTTGCCAACATTTTTGACGCTACCAGTTCATAACATATTCTGGTGTGCATAATTCAATTATCCTGAAATTAAGAGAAAAACGTTGGTCACTACCAACTTTGTGAATTCTTGTTAGTAAAATTTTAAAAAATAGGAATCATTAGTAATATTAAATATAGGCTTTACACAGCAAATATAACCAAAAACTAACCAGCAGGTAGTGGATTATTTAAAACATTTCCTAGATTTAAAAGGTGGGCAGTTAATATCAGTAATCTTGGGCTTCATCTCTCAAAAGTGAATAAAAAGGTCACAACTGTGGTTGGCTACAATGTGAAGTTTATAATTCTTACCCTATTCCAAGATTATCAAGATGAGACTCATCAAGACAGGGCAGTAATGAACCTGTGATTTTCTTTTCTATGGAAGAAAAGAGAAAAAAGAGATGAGTGATTTCAGTATTTACAACATATGCTTTTCTATTTCTTTCCATTTGGATCCACCAGAATTTACTCAGATCAACATTTACTGAGTGCACCCACAACATGCAAGGGACTGTGTCAAATACCACTTTTCTGATTTGCCACTGGGAAGGTCTTAATTTTAATTAGAAAATTATATCAAGAGGTTTTTATAATAAATCAGGTAAAACTTTTTAAATTAGTTGAGTAAATTACTTGCAAGGAAGTCCAGCTGCAAAACTGTCAGCTGCCTTCTAAAACAGTTAAGGCTTGGGATGGGGACAGGAAAAGCCTATTGTTCTTAGAATAGTCAGGTCAAAACCACTGCCTGAGGAGTGGCCAAAGTGTTCAGTTAGTTCTAAAACCTCCAAGTAAAGCACAAAATACTCTGTGTTTTGAAAGACATATATATGGCTTATTTTTCTTTCTCTTTCTATATAATTAATTCTAGTCCTTCCTGATCTCAGATTCCAGAACTCTACGCTATTTTCAAACAAACAAAAATCTTTCTAAAGATAATGAGAGACCTTTAGATACAAAGAACAAGCTGATGGTTACCAAAGGGGAAGTGGGGAAATGGGTAAAAAAAATTTTTTAAAAGGTCTTTTTTCCATGGTCATGTAAAAATAAAAAGATGGTAACGAGAGGAAATGAGGAAGTAATTTCCAAAATGAAAAAACAAACAAACATTACATGAAAATGACTTTAAAAAATTTTTCAATGTAAGGAATTCAAACAATACAAAAATATAAAGTATAAAATATCAAAACTTACTTAAATTCTCCTGATAATCACTGTTAACATTTTGGGTATCATTGAAGACATTTATCTATGCAATTATATAATTTTACACAAATAAATTTACATTTTTTATCATCTATTTTTCCCACCCTACTGACAATTTCATCAACTTTATTGGATTACTCATTTCTCCTATTATCATTTGTGCTTTAAAAAAAGTTTTTATTGCCCTGGCCGGTTTGGCTCAGCAGTTAGAGCGTAGGCCTGCGGTCCAGAGAGACCTGGGTTTGGTTCCCGCTAAGGGCATGTACCTTGGTTGCAGTTTGTCCCCGGCCCTGGTTGGTTGTGTGGGTGGCAGCCGCTTAAATGTGTCCCTTTCACGTCGATGTTTCTCTCTCTCTCTCCCTCCTACTCTATCTGAACAAAAAATGAAAAAGTGTCCTCAGGTGAGGGAAAAAAAACCCAAAAACGTTTTTATCGATTTTTAGAGAGAGAGGAAGGAAGAGAAAGAGAGAAACATCGATGAAAGAGAACCACTGATCAACTGATCAGCTGTGCCCTTACGTGGAATCGAATCAGCAACCCTTAGATACACAGACCGACACCCAACCCACTGAGCCATACTGGCGAGACCATCTATTATCAATCTTTAAATATTTTCCAAACTAAATTAAAAAATCATTATTTTTTAAAATTACTCTTGAGACAATGTCTTTTTCTGTGTTTACTGGATGGTTTACTGTGTTTTGCTCATTTGAACCTCGCCCCCCTTGCTCTTAGTTGATTTTTAACTTTAGGTATGCTCTTCAATTTTTTTAAAATTGGTTTGTTTGTTCCTTTACTGTTGAGGGGAATCCAATGGTTTTGATAAGAACACTTGCTAATGTATAGCTAAAATGAGTTCTGGAGTCTAAAGACCTAACCTTAAAATCCAGCTCTGCCTTTTTCTTTTGGTTAATCCTCATCTGAGGATATTAAAAAAAAATTTTTTTTCCTTTATTGATTTTAGAAAGAGGAAGGGAGAGGGAGAGAGAGATAGAAACATTGATGAGAGAGAACATCAACTGGTCGCCTCCTGCATGCCCCCCACTGGGGATCGGGCCCAAACCTGGACATGTGCCCTGACTGAAAATCGAACCAGTGACTTCTTGATGCATGGGTCGAAGCTCAACCACTGAGCCACACTGGCAGGGCCTCATCATCTGAGGATATTTTTTCCACTGATCCTTAGAGTGAAAGGGAGTAAGGGAGGGGTGGGGGAAGGGAGAGAGAGAAACAATAATGTGAGAGAGACACATTGATTGGTTGCCTCCCGCATGAACCCAACCAGGGCAAGGATTGAACCTGCAACCCAGGTATGTGCCCTTCACCAGCAATTGAACCCGAGACCCTTTGGTCTGCAGGCTGACACTCTAACCACTGAGACAAACCGGCCAGGAACAGTTATGCCTTTCTCTAGCTGTGTGACCTATGGAAAGTTAGTTAACATCTTTAGACCTCAAACACATTATCTGTTTAAAAAAATGGATTATAGCTTCTAAATTTTAGGGTTCCTATGAGATGTATTCCATCATGAGGAAAGGGACCCAGCACCTTGTGCTTAGTTTTGTCATATAAAAACAAATCTGGCCCTGGCTGGTTTGGTTCAGTGGTTAGAGCACCAGCCCACAGACCGAAGAGTCTTGGGTTTGATTTTGGTCAAGGGCACATACCACAGTTGTGGTTTGACCTCAGCCCTGGTCAGAGTCAAGCGGGAGGCAGCTAATTAATGTGTCTCTCTCGTATTGATGTTTTTTTTTCTCTCTCTCTCTCTCTCTCCTTCCCTCTCTTCCTCCCTCCCACTCTATCTGAAGATAAATGGAAAAATATCCTCAGATGAGGATAAAACAACAACAACAACAAAAACAAATGTGGATTTAGAAAGACTAGTGCAGTAGGGAGAACATTCCAATCTCAGAAATATATAAGCAGCTCAAAATCAAACAGAAAAAGTGTGTTGTTTTTTATAGACTAAAGGAGAGGCAAGCGAGACAAGCAGAATCTTTGGAAGGTAAGAGACTCCAGCGGGGTCTGACAGGGCAGTGTCCTGCTGTGGCCAGCTGGTTCCCAGGAGAAGCTGATCAGGGGGCATATGCGACTTTTTTGGTGTTTGCTCAGTTTGGGAGGCAAACAAGAGTTCAGGGACCTGAAGGAGAGAAAGAAGTCTCACTAAAGGTTAGTCAAGACAAAGCAGACAGTAAGAAACGAGCAACTGGGACCACTTGATCAGTTTTACCAATTAAAATCATGCAGTGCCTCCTATTGGCATTAGACTGCCGGCTCCAGAGAACAGATCATTTGGAAAGTTGATGAGTTAATCTACAGAACACCACTGAAACAGAGCCAACATCGCCAATCACATTTTGGAGACAGAAAATATAAACTACTTCATCCCCACTTGTTGCTATTCAAAGAAAACTTCCAATCCCAGCAGTAGAGGAAAATAAAAAAGAGAAGTACAATTTCTATACCCATCAAGTTATCTCTAGATTGAATCACTAAAGTTCCTCCCACACTAATTCCCCAGAGACAAACAGGGCTCCACCCAAATGTTTGCAGAATATGCAAATCCTACCACCTCCCTACTGAACACCTCTGAGAATAAAGCCGGATAAATTAAGCTTCACACTCATTAGGGGAAGTTGAGTTGATTTCGAGTGGATGGATGCTTGCACTTGAGCCACTAAAGTCGCTTAAAACTCACAAGCTCCACACCTCCCCATGTGATGTGGTCCAGCTGTGGACTGCTGGGAGGTCAGTGGTCAACTGAACAACCTGTGCCCATATTTAGCAAGAGAAGCTGCTTTTGGAGAAGACATAATCATTACCAAGCTCTGCAAGTACAGTCAACAATCACGTACTGAGCCCTAACTGGGATGCTTTGGTAGGCGACTGGGAATCAGAGAGTAACTCAACAAATTCCCTTCCCTTTGGGAAATCCCCAAATTTCGGGGAAAAAGAAACTTAAGAGCATCAAAACATGATCTAACGGGGCAAGTATTCAAGGAGCTCGGTGGCCTAGGGGTCTCCAGAGCCTGGGAGCCCGCATGACACTAATCCTCTGACCAAGGTCCGGGGGAAAGGTTCTTCTAACTAAAAAAGGGACCTGAGTCTCGCCTGTCGGACGCAGGGGTGGCAAGTTTCTGAAGAAACCCAACACACTTGGACCGACTGCCCTACTCAGGTTCACTACCCCCATGGTTAGCTTCCTGCCTACAGGACCCCCACCTTCCATTTCTCCTTCCACCATCTCAGGGCATCAGCCCTGGGCTCCCGCGCCTCAGGTCCGCCCCCTCTGCTGCCTCCCGCGTCAGGTCTCCCTTCCCCGCCTCAGGGCCCCTTCCCACAAGGGCTCTCCGCTCCCGTCACCCCTTCTGCGCGCTCCCCGCCGCAGGTCCTCCGGTCCTGGTGCCTCCGGGATCGAGTCTCCTTTCTCCGCTTTGGGTCCTCTTTGAGGCCCCCTGCTCACGGCCCCAGGGCGCCTTCTCTCAGGCCTGCTGTCCCCGGCTCGGGTCGCCGCGCCTCAGTCCCTCAGCCCTCTAGCCTGCTACCTCGGATGCGGTCCAGCAGTGCAGGATCCTTGAAGCCATTGAGCTGCAGGAAGCTGCACACCTGCTCCGAGTCCCAGGTCCTGCGGTCGGCGGGGAGTCGGGAACCCGGGGACCTTTCCTCCGCTGCGGAAAGGGTGTTTGGCGGCGTTCTTGGGCTACTATCATCGCACCGGGACCGCTTGGAGGGGCGCTCCGAATCGGTTTTCTGCATGGCTACTCAGCACAGACCAGCGGAGCTCAGTCAAGAACCTCGGCGCCCAGCTCTCGCGCAAGCGCACTGACAGCCCGACACTGGCTGCGAGTCCTCTCGGCTTAGCCAGCCTACAGGCTTTCCGCGCAGGCGCACTGACAGCTCAGACCTTGGGGGCAAGACAGCCCAGACACTTCAGCCGTCAGGCCCCTTGCGCAAACGCAATGACCAACCAAACGTCCTCTGCCGCGCCCCGGCGTTTATGGGAAACTGAGCAGCGAGAAACAGAAACTAAGGGTGGTGCTAATAAGGGTGGGATAGAGAAAAGAGTGTGCCCAGAACCCGTGGAAGTCTAACTACCATCCATAATAGGGACTATTATGGTGAATTGATTGTACCTTCCTCCAAATGATAGCCCAGGCTTATCAGTGTTTCAGATACCCCAAACTGGAAAGAAACCTAAAAGGCAATCAGACTGCCAGCATCTTCCCAGTTAAGAGAAAAATGGGCAAGGAACTGGAAGACCCTGGAATGACTTCTAATTTGATGTGAAAGTTGTCTTTTTGCATTTCACAAGTTCCACAGTATCGCTGGCCAGTGATAGGGCCCTGGGAATGCCTATCCATGCACTCTTAGCCTATCTTCAGGTTTCCATACAGAAGCTGACTTCAAACTTCTCTGTAAAAGAATCCTCAGCTCCTCTCTCTATCCCAATCCCCTGCCCAGAGGAAGGAAGGAGCCAATCTGATGACTTAAAATTTATGTTCAAGAACTTTTACTACCTGGTGGTAACAGTCTGAGAAAATGGCAAGCATCCTCCCTCTCCCCCAACCACACACACACTTTAGCCACTCTGGGGCAGGACCCAACGTTCTCTATAAATCCTGGTCCTTGCTTGCAATTAACTGGCAAAAGGACTGTTACTACCATTACTAAAGTACAACTTTATATCAACCCAGCCATAGACCCATCTAGGTGATAAATGATGAATGAGGCAGATAATCAAGCAGTATGAAATAGTAGGCTAGTGGTGAACAAAATATTCTCAGCAAACACTTAGAACTTTATTGTGTTTCAGGCACCATTCTAAGGGTTTTACATGTATTTATTCATTTAAGTAATAACAATAACCTGAGGATGTAAGGTAAAGGGAAATAAGTGATATGTCAAAGGTTACTCAGAAAGTGATGAAAAGTAGAAGATTCCATCCCATGCAATCTAGCCTGGTTCCAAAACCTATGCTCTTAATCACTTGTGAACAATTATTTAATGAGAATTTCCAAATAAGACTTGTTTATAAGATTTGGTTTATAAGACCTATTTAATAAGACTTGTGGGGAAATCTGTCCTGACAGAAAGCATTCCTGGGCAGAAGGTGATATAATTAGGTGAAATAAACATTTAATGATTGGGTTTTCTCAAAACCAGTTACTTTTGAGGACTTTATAGTTTTTCATTTATTAGAGTGTAATTAAAATTTTTTTTCTTTATTGATTTTTAGAGAGAGAGATAGAAACATCGATGAAAGAGAACATTGATTGGCTGCTTCCTGCATGCCCCCCACTGGGGATTGGGCCCAGAACCTGGGAATGTGCCCTGATCAGGAATCAAACCAGCAACATCTTGGTGCATGGGTCGATGCTCAACCACTGAGCCACACTGGTTGGGCAAAAGAGTGTAATTTAATGCCATATTTTTTATTTTCTCTCTAATCCTCTACTTTCAACAACAGAACTGAGATTTAAAAACTTGGGCACTCCAAAACTTGGGCACTCCAAAACTTGGGCACTTTCTAGTTTGCTACTTCATTTAACTCCACGCACAGTTCTAGTGAGCTTAGTCCATCCAGTACTGCACAGCCTGGGAAAAAATACTTATTAATAACAGTCCCTGTGCTTGGGTCATATTGAAAGAAATGAGTACTTAAGCTCTCCTTTGATTTCACCATGTTAGGACTAGCAAAGACTATAAATTCAATTAATTTAAGGCTCATTGTTTGATGATCTCTAGTTTTTTTTTATCCTCACCCGAGGACATTTTTTCCATTTTTTCTTCAGATAGAGTGGGGGGAGGGGGAGGGAGGAAGAGAGAGAGAGAGAGAGAGAGAAACATTGATGTGAAAGGGACACGTCGAGTGGCTGCCACCTGCACGAACAACCAGGGCCGGGGACAAACTGCAACTGAGGTACGTGCCCTTAGTGGGAACCAAACCTGGGTCTCTCTGGACCGCAGGCCGACGCTCTAACTGCTGAGCCAAATTGGCCAGGGCCCATTGTTTGATCTCAAATACTCCCAGGGGTTCTTCCCTGCCCTTTCACAGCTACTTTCCACCCACCTACATGAACTAAGCAATATTTTTTCTGGCAGCACTAACCTGTGGTTTTACATCTCTCCACAGCTTCCTGGTTAACCAGTGCTGCTGGATCTCAATGCCACTCCTGGTCCCCTATTACTTCCTCTTCAACCTTTACTGAACCTAACCTCCTCAAGACATTCTTTCTTCCCATCTGCCCAAATCTAAAGCCAAGCCAAAATTCATTAAAACATTTTTTCTTTATTGATTTTTATAGAGAGGAAGGGAGAGGGAGAGAGAGAGAAACATTGATGAGAGAGAACATCAATTGGCCGCCTCCTGCATAATCCCCACTGGGGATCAGGCCCACAACCTGGGCATGTGCCCTGTCTGGGAATCAAACTGATGACCTCTTGGTGCTGAGCCACACTGACTGGGCAAGCCAAAATCCTTTTTAAAAAAAAATGTATGTAATGCTTGCTTCAGCAGCACATGTCATAAAATTGGAACAATACAGAGATTAGCATGCCACTCTCAAGTAAATAAATAAAAATATATTTATTTTCTTGTCTGATAAAAATAATGCTTATGTCCCTGGCCAAGTAGCCCAGTTAGAGTGTCATCCTGATATGCCAAGGTTGCGGGTTTGATCCCTGGTCAGGGCACATACAAGAAGCAAACAATGAATGCATAAATGAGTGGAACAACAAATTTCTCTCTTTCTCCTTCTCTTTCTAAAGAAAAATCAATAAGCCTGACCAGTGTGGCTCAGTGGATTGAGCACTGTCCCATGGACTGAGAGGTCCTGTTCAAATCCTGGTCAGGACACATGCCTGGGTTGTGGGCTCGATTCCCAGTAGCGGGCATGCAGGAGGCAGCCGATCCACATCTCTCTCTCACATCAATGTTTCTATATCTCTCCCCCTTCCTCTCTCTCTTAAAAAAAAAAAAAAAAGCAATATAAACATATTTTTTTAAAATATAAAGAAAAATCAATCAATAAAAATTTAAGAATAATGCTCAAGAAAGAAAACTTGGAAAACAAAATGTATACATACATACAGATCCAAATATCACTTCTTGGTACGTGCCTCGTAAGTCTTTTTTTCTGTTCATAGATACAGAGAGTGATCTCCAGTTCTAAGAATTCTTTGAAAAAAAGAGACCTTACAAAATGACAATAGCTACCATATTTGAGTACCAAGTATGAGTCAGACATTCTGCTTGAGCTTTACTTTATATCCATAATTTCTAATCCTCATAACAACCTCATTAGGTAGGTGTTATACTAGTAGGGCTTATTTGGTTATTAATATATTTATTGGGTGGAAGCAGGAATGGGAGGAGGGTGTCAGTGGAAGAAAAAGGAGAAACATCTGTAACAAAAATAAATGAATTAAATAAATAAATATATATCTATTCATTCAACAAATATTTACCAGGTACTTACTAATTTGCCTGGCACCTGAGACACATCAATGAGCAAAAGTAACAAAAATCCCTTGCCCTAGTAACAAAATCCTAGTGGGGTGAGTCTGGCAGTGAATAATAATATAATCAACAGTAATATATTTATGGAAAAAATTTTTTAGGAGGAGCAGAGGAACCCTGGCTGGGTGGCTCAGTTGGTTGGAGCATGGTCCTGAACATCAAAAAGGTTTTGGGTTTGATTCCCAGTCAGGGCACATACCTAGATTTTTTTAAAAAATATTTTTACGTTGTTTTTTATGTTTTATTGACTTATCTTTTTATCCTCACCCAAGAACATTTTTGCATTTATCTTCAGATAGAGCGGGAGGGAGAGACAAAGAGAGAGAGAGAAAGAAACATCAATGTGAGAGACTGGCTGCCACCCACACGACCCCAACTGGGGCCGGGGACAAACTGCAACCGAGGTACATGCCCTTAGGGGGAACTGAACCTGAGACTCTCTGGTCTGCGGGCCGACGCTCTAACTGCTGAGCCAAACCGGCCAGGGCCATACCTAGATTTTGAGTTGGATCCCAGGTCTGGATAGGTACCAGAGGCAACTGATCCATGTTTCTCTCTCACATTAATGTTTCTCTCTCACTTGCTCTTTCTCCCTTCCTCTCTCCAAAATTAATAAAAACAGCCCTGGCCAGTGTGGTTCAGTTGGTTGGAACATAGCATCGTTCTGTCCACTTAAAGACTGTGGGTTTGATTCCCAGTCAAGGCACATACCTAGGTTATGGGCTTGATCCTTGATTGCATACAGGAGGCAACCGATAGATGTTTCTCTCTCTCTCCCTTCTCTTCTCTCTAAAGTCAATAAACATATCCTTGGGTGAGGATTCAATTAAAAAATAATAAAATAAAATAAATAAAAATGTATCGTTGGGTGAAGATAAAAAAAAAAAGAGTGGAGGAGAATAGGGTCAAAGTTTTGGATCAGGTAATCATATAGACTTTTTGAGAAACTGACATTTAAGCAGAAACTTGAAGGAGATGAAGGAGTCAGCCATGCAGTTATCTGGAAGAAAAGTATTCCAGGCAAAAAGAACAGTAAAGGCTTTGAAAGTGCCAGTGCAAAGGCTTCGAAGCAGGAGTATGCCTGGAGTTCAGAAACAGGAAGTGTGGATGGGCAAAGTGAGTAAAGGGGGAAGTGCTAAGAGATGAGATCAAGAAGAGTGGAAACCATGTAGGTACATGAAGACTAGAAGCTGCGAGTAGATTTGAGAGAGAGACAGAGAGAAAAACATTGATGTGAGAGAGACACATTGATTGGATGCCTCCTGCAGAACCCTGACCTGGGTGGGAGATAGAACCTGAAACCCAGGTACGTGCCTATGACTGA